CCTCCTGACGAGCCTTGACCTTGGAAATGGAAACGGCGTGCGGGAAATGATTGATAAGCGCGAATTGTCCATCGCACCTTCGGGGGCGGCACAGCCGTTCGCTCACTGCGAGACAAAAAAGCAACGTGGCTACATTCTAAGAAGCACAGTCCTAAAATGTCGGGCTGCGCAGCGCGGTGCAAGGTAATCCCCCCTGCAGGCGCAGCCTGACCGACAGGGACACGGGCTGGCCCAAAGACGGAGCACAGGAGGAGGCACCGGAGGGAGACCACGCACGTGCCCCAGCCCGCCCTCGAAAGCTCTGAGGTGGGACGCCAAGAGCAACTGCAGCCTATGAAAACCTGCCCATGGAATCCCCAGAGAAATCTCTTCCGAGGAGTCCTCCGAGAAACCCTCCTCCTCAGCAGACGCCACAGTAGACCGACCAGCCATAATTGGGGGAGCTGTGGTCCTTACCCCCCTGGGGGAACCCATCGCATCGACGATCTCTCGAGAGGGGTGTCGAAATCGATGGGTCCCCCAGGGGGGCAAGGACCACAGCTCCCCCAGTTGTGGCTGACCTGGTAGATCCCCCACCTGAGACCTGAGCTAAGCGGGGGGGGGGGGGGAGAATTCGAGGTGCTCGAAATTCCCCCGGCCGGGCAGAGTCTGATCCGACTCCGAAAGTGGCCCTCTAGCTCCAGCTAAACCATCGGCAGGAACAATCTCGTTCCCCAACCCGTCCACGGCAGGGCAAAACATACAGCCGCGGTGGGCAGTGTCCCTGATGAGAGGCCGCACAAATGGCAGAGCAACTGGGAATCCTCGGGGAGGCATCCTGGCTGGGCGGCCCTATCAGCCGCCCACGCTCCGCTGCATCCTGGGTACCCGACGGACACTCCCTCTGAAAGGCGTGCGACCTGGATTGGAACTTCAAGACATCAAGACAGGCGCGGCCCCACCCGGCGCCCACTTCTTCCCCGCCTGGATCTCCTGGCCCCCCAAACGCTGCCTTCCTGAGTATGTCCTTCGAAAAGGGCTGGGCCAGCGAACGCGAGCGAGACGGCGGCGCCCGAGAGCGAGAGGAGCGCGGCATAGTTGAGCGCAGTCTAACCCAGGGCTGGACCTCAACGTTGTTTTCCGTTTGATTTTCGTTTTGTTGTTCGCTCTGCCCTACCTGTTTTCCTGTACCTCCCTGCCAAAAACGACAAACAAAACACAGCCGAAGTCCAGCACAAACTGGCCTAACCGAGCCTCTTGACAGAAAGGCGCAAGGCAGTGATGGGGCCACTGGCAGACCTCCAACTGGATGGCTGGCGCTCGCCGAGAACAGCTAACCGCCTGCAGCGCTCGAGCTTACGAACGCGGCGCGCCGCCCCGATGATGACGGAACCAGGCCGCCCAGACCGCCTCCTCCCATCCAACAGTGGCCGCGGCCGTGCGTCAATACGCGCGGCCACCTTCGCAAATCGACGCCCGTGTCAGGTTCCACCCAGCGCGCAGAGGTGGAGTAGATGTTCCTGCTTGACTGTGAGTGCGCTCGAGCTCAGCATCACGCGGGCCTTCGCACCTCGCAGCCGAGACCGCGCAAGGTACGGCCCCGCCCGTGAAGAGCTTCGTGGCTGAACAACCCCACGCGTGGCGCTGTTTGCGGATCCTGCCAGCGCGCCCACCAAGAGTCGGGCGTTGGCAGAACTGGGTTTAGTGGGACCTGGTTTAGAGATGTGTACTGCGGGACGCCCCCCCGCCCCGTTCCACTAACCGGAACTGCTGACACCCGAGAAGACACGAGCTACGGCAGACCTGGTTTAGTGATTCTGGCCAGTCTAGGGGCTCCAAGGCCCTACCACTAACCGGGTCCCCCTACCTGGGGTCGCTATACCCGAACAAGTGTTCCCGCGCTGATTGGGTTCCTCGCATCCCTTCCTGACCCGACGGGCTCCGCCGGCCACGCCGCTGGTGCCGAGCTCGATGCAGGACGCGGCCGGGCCTGCGCCGACCCAGACCGCCAGGGGCTCCTGCGACTGAATCACGAGGCGATTCTGACGACAGGCCAAGCTGGCCATGCCAAATGCGATCCGGCCTTTCAAATCCAGGAGAGCCGAGAATCGAATCGACAAGTCGGATCGGCAATCGAAGTCTGTCGGATCGGCGGAAATCGGCAGCCGAGTCGGGAGGAGCCGAATCGGCAGAAATCGGCAGTCTAGTATGCCTCCAACAGGAATCGAAGCCCAAATCGGAATCCCAAGTCGAATCGAATCGGAATCGGAGTCCGTCGAAGTCGAATCGAATCGAATCGGAGGAATCGAAGCGAGCCCTGTAAAATCCTCCGCGACCGCCCTGGAGACGCCAGTCGCCCCTGTGGCGATCGCCGCGTGCGCGGCCGAACAGAACACTCGGGCCGACGGCCCGAGACCGTCGACATAGAAGCGCCCAGCCTGGCGCGAGGCGCCAGCTGCGCGGAAGCGGAAGCACGATGCCGAGTGAGGGGGTGCAAGCACCGAGGCCCCTCCCCTGAGCAATAACGGCCAGGCGGGAGGGGCAAGACGAGGAAGAAAAAGGGGGACGAGCTCTGGTCGTAAGAAGGTCCCTCTTCCTCCTCCTCCTCCTCCTCCTCCTGCTCCTCCTCCTCCTCCTCCTGCTCCCCCTTCTCCTCCTCCTCCTCCTCCTCCTCCTCCTCCTCCTCCTCCACCCCATCATTGGCTGGGCTCGACCCGGCGAGTGAAATTCTGAAGTTGCACTGAACACGCACGCAAAAAGGGGGGATGAAGGCAAGGCGGGAAAAAGATAGCGTCGGCAGCCGGCTGGCCACCTGATGCCTACCGTGGCTACACCGGCCTGAGCCAGAGTTGGTCATGGACTCTCAGCCCCTCATACTCCTCCTCCTCCTCCTCCTCCTCCTCCTCCTCCTTCGCACAGTTCATCTCATGAGGTCTGACACGACCGCGGTGACAACGCATGCGCGCATTCACGCGCACTGAGGCGAAGGGGGGGGGGATGAGCGCCCCTACTCCTCCTCCTCCTCCACCACCACATCCACCGCCTCTTTCCCCCCCCCTCCACCAGTCCACTTCCTGGTTCATAACTCCTCCCTGTCACACCCTGAGAACACTCGGAAGGACAGGCTGGGCGTTTCGCATGGGACGTCCTTACCATTTACGAGCTTGGAGCTCCCAGATTGGCAACAGTTTCACACATGGAAGGCGGGTCGTTTTCAAAATGTAGCTTTAGCCTTAGCGCCGCGCACATTCGCTGAGGGCGGGAGGTGTTCAAAATGTGGTTCTCGCCTTCGCGCCGCGCGCATTATTTGCAAACAGTTGCAAGAGCTTCACCGATTGATGGCTGGGCGGGTCGTTTTCAAAATGTGACTCTCGCCTTAGCGCCGCGTGCTTCCGTTGTAAACAATTGGAAGATTCCCACGGATTGAGGGCGGGTCGTTTTCCAATTGTGGCTCTCGCCATAGCGCCGCGCGCAGTCGTTTTAGCAAGCGTTTCGTCGACTCGCATGGTTGAGGTACCAGACGCGGTCTTTTTGAAAAGATTTAGGGTTGCCAGGGCGCAGCAGTTTCAGTGATTCGCAATGCTTGAAGCGGCAAGGAATGTGTTCTTTCACGGTTCAGGATCGTCATGGCTCGTGGCGCTGAAGTCCTGAGAGAAGTGTTTTGGCACGCTTCTGGATGTTCACACCGTTGTCCTCCGACGGGGTACTACCCACAATGGATATGAACCCTTTGAGGGGCCTATGAAGATGGAGCTTGCAGGGAGGGTGTTTTCCAACATCGTTTACGAGTCTTGGGTGTGAACTGGTCCTCCTTCTCGTCCTCCTCCTCCTCCCCGTCATCCCCTCCATCCCAAATGATTCTGCTTTGAGCGATCCCCACCGGAGCCTTCGGCGTTTGATGCCAAAGGTGCGCGCGCTCATTGGAACGATGTGCGCGGGGCTCGGCGGGCAGAGCGGGCGAGTCGGCGCGGGGGTGTGGTGCTGGTGGTAGCTTGTGCTGGTTATGCAGAGTGGGCGTTGAGTTCGCACGAGCGCGCTTATGTTGTGTTGTGAGGTGTGGTGTTATGCTATGTTCTGTGTGACCAATTCTGCCACACCTTATGGTGTTATGCTATGCTATGCTTTGCAATGCATGGTATGCCGCGCTCTGTCATGGTATGTACTGATGTGTGCTGTGATGCCGTGTTATCTTGTGGTGTGTTCGCTGTCCTGCTATAGTATGTGCTGCTATGGTATGCCATACTATGAGTTGCGATCGTATGTTATGTTATGTTCTTGTATGTGTGCTCCGATGTGTCATTACATGGGTGGACATGCTGCGTTGTGCTATGATATGGTATGTCACGTCACGTGATGATATGACATGCTCTGTGTCGGTATGGTCAGTTCTGCGTTGAGTTGGTATGGTATGCTTGATTTGTCATGCTATGGACTGATGTGTGATGCGATGCTGTGCAATGGTATGCGCTGCCCTGTCAGGGTATGCTATGTTACGATGTGGTCTGTCACGACATGGTATGCTATGCGCGGATGTGTTTTGTTCGTTGTTGTGATGTTATGCTCTATTCTGTGGGGGACCGCGGCATCTGGCGGCCGCGGTATGAAGAGTGGGCGAGTCGGCGCGGGGGGCGGGACCCTCAGGGTTAATCGGGGGACCGCGGCATCTGGCGGCCGCAGCAATTATGCAGAGACGGGGGGGTGGGGCGCGGGACCACGAGGGACTGTCGGAGCCTGGGGATCTGGCGGCCGCGGTACGCAGGGCGGGGTGGGCGGGCGGGACCGCGAGGGATTCTCGGGAGCCCGGGGATGTGGCGGCCGCGGCATGCAGGGCGGGCGGGCCGGGGGGCTTCGTCTTCAAATCCAGGAGGAGGAGGAGGAGGAGGAGGAGGAGGAGGAGGAGGAGGACCGCAGCCTGTCAGGCTGGGAGCGCCCCGAGCAGAGCACGTGGCCGCACCGAGCCATGGGGGCCGAGGTGCGCAGAGAAGCGGGGCGGGGGGGGGAGGCGGGCCCGCCCGCCGAGCCTGTAGTGGCCCGTGGGGTTCTCGGGGTTGAAGCCGAAGAACGCCTGCTGAGGGATGGGGAAGCAAGGAGAAGGGTGAGGCGAGATGCCGCGTCGCTTCGTCCGAGATTCATGTCGTCCGCTTCGATCCGTCCAGTTTCGACTGTTCTGGGCATCGAGAGGGGACGAAACGAAGGGGGACGAAACGAAGGAGGACGAATCGAAAGAAGACGACTCGAAAGAGGGCGAACTGACAGCGGACGAACTTGAACGTGAGAGGGGGAGGGGAGGAGAAGAGCATGGAGGAGGGGCCAGGGCGGAACGGAGGGCTGGAGGCCCGCGCCGCATCGCCGATTCTCGGCCACGTCGGCGCGACGAAACAGATCTGGGCTCCATAGTCGGATCGGGCGAGAGGGGGGTGACGGCAGCGGAGAGGCCAACGCAAATCAGCTCGCGTACTTACCTGGTCTCCCTGGCGCGCCGCGGCTGCCGGGAGAGACGCACGGATGTGCGCTGAGGGGAGGGCGCGCGGCGGCGGGGCCGAGAGCGGCTGCCGGCGGCAGACTTCGCACCCCCCCTTTGTGAAGGGGCCCTGGGACACACAAACAAATAGACACAAGCAACCGGAGTCCCCACAGTTTCCCATGGTTTCCGGGTGTCTGCCTTCCCCCCCCACTTCCCACAGTTTCCCATAACTTCTGGGGAGTCGACGATGATTTGTGTCTCTGTGTGTTTTTGTTCCCCCTCCATGACCTTTCCCCACCCCACCCCCAGGCGCCCCCAGAGTCGAATCGACAACTCGGATCGGCGATCGACATGAATCGGATCGGCGGAAATCGGCAGCCGAGTCGGGAAAAATCGGATCGGCGGAAATCGGCAGGCTACTATGCGTCCCATAAGAAGTCGGAATCCGAATCGGAATCCCAAGTCGAATCGAATCGGAATCGGAAGCCATCGAAATCGAATCGAATCGAATCGGAGGAGTCGAAACGAGCCCTGCCACCCCCGTCGTCCGACCCGAGGAGAAGACCCCTGGCCCAACCATCGAGCCGCACCGCCCGACGGCATTCGGCGCCGCGGCGCGGCCCGCCGACCCCGGCCGATCCCCCGGCCGCTGCGGCGGGCGGCCCGGGAGGAGGCGCCAAGGATCGGGTCGGGCAAAAGGGGGGGATAGCAAAGGGGGGGGTTGAGAATCAGCTCACGTAGCTGACTTTCCCGGCGCCTCCCGGCGCCGGGAGGCGCCCATGTATCGAGGAATGGGCCCCTCGGCGGGGCCGAAATCAGCTGCATGCAGCAAATTTCGTAACCCCCCCTTTCCCAATCCCCCCCTTTCGCCCGGCCCGAAAGGAACGGGGCGTCCCGCTCCCTGCGGGCTTCCAGGCAGCCGGGGAGCGCGCGGAGCGAAGACTTGAGCAGGGACCGACCGTCCTGGCATTCCTGTAGTCGAAGTGTTCTCAGAACCCCAAAAAATGCTCCAGTAACAAAAACAGTGTTCTTAGAACATAAACCCGAAGTGACAAAACAAGACAGGCCCCGCCAGAACTGTCCTGATAGCATTTCGCGAAAACATCACAGTTCTAAGAACATGTCGTGAAAGCATCACAAAAAGGTTCTTAGAACATTGTTTGGTAGGGCTAACTAGGCGAGCGCTTCCCCACTGCTTGGAAGGTGCGCGCGCACCCAGCCGCGCAGGCGTGCGACGACGGCCACTCTGGGCCTCGGCCACGACGGTGGGCCTCCCGGCCCAGACCCGAGGGACGGAGGAGCGGCCCGAGGGCCGGAGCCTCTCCCGAGCCCAGCGTGGAGGAGGAGGAGGAGGAGGAGGAGGAGGAGGAGGAGGAGGAGGAGGAGGAGGAGGAGGAGGAGGAGGAGAGGAGGAGGAGGAGGAGGAGGAGGAGGAGGAGGAGGAGGAGGAGGGAGGAGGAGGAGCAGCGTCTTCACTGCTCGGCCGAGCTGCCGCTGGGGGCGCAGAAGCAGTCTCGCTGACGCGTGGAACCCATCGGCGTGCCGCTGCTGAAGGAATACCAGGCCCTCGGGCAAAACAAAGGAGTCGCGTACCCACACGACCACCCTTCGGGTGACAAGGAGGCTGCGCGGGGGGAGGGGAAACAACTGACAACAACTGTGATGATCGTGATCGTGCTGGTGCTGGTGATGCACTCGCGAGCTGGTGACGATGCATGATGACGATGCTGGTGATGATGCATGATGGCAATTATGACGGTGACGAGTCATGGCGACGATGCTGGTGATGATCGGGGCATCGGTCTCACTTTCTATCTCACAATGGATCCCGCTATCTGGATATCGATCTCATTATCGATCGGTCGCTCTCACGATCTATCCATCTCACTAGCTATTTTATCGATCGACGTCACCGAACAATCATCAGGGTACAATCGAGACACCATCTGGACACCATCGTGACACCATCGAGGCACCACAGGGACACCATCAGGACACCGTCGGGACACCACTGGGACACCATCGGGACACCATCAGGGCACCATAGGGGACACCATCGGAACACCATCGGGACACCGTGTGGGCATGGATGACATGTGGACAACATGTGGATACCTTGTGGACACCGTGAGGACACCACCTGGACATCATCGGGCCCCCTCGCGCCCCCCCCCGGCCACACGGGGGGAGGGAGCAGCATGAATTGGCCCGGTGTCGCCCCAGCGACGAAACTAAGGGGACGAAGAATGGCATAAACATAAAAACTCGGAGGTCCACGCGGATTTCTCGGAACGGCGCTGAACCCCCTGGAGGCGCCTCTGGCGCCGCCCCTGGCGCGCGGAGCGCGCCAGAGAGGGGGGTCCAGCGCCGATCCGAGAAATCCGCGCGAACCTCCGAGTTGTTATGTTTATGCCATTCTTCGTCCCCCTAGAAACACCACCGAGACACCACCTGGACAACCCGCATGGGTCACCGCCGGCCAGCCGGGGAGGGGGGAGGGCGGGAGGGCACAGCATCATTTGGCCGAGGCTCGCCCCAGCAACGGCGGGGTCGCGCTTAACTCGCCCGCGCACGCAGCTTCGCTTCGCCCGCGCGCAACGCACGGGCAGGGAACCAAAAAACACCGAGTTCACGGTGGGGGGTCTCGGGTGCACTTCGACCTTACCCTCCAACCTTCGACTGACGGACTCCCAGCGGCGGCGCGTCCTTGCTGTTCTCGTTCCCCCGAGGTAGGAAAGCAGGAACGACGCCCCTCGCCTGGTCACAGGAGCGGCTATAGGTGCACGAAGAGCGCTGCAGGGACAGCCGTGGAAGGACCTGAGTGCAGGACGAGAAGAACTGGAACACCTGGAAAACCTGGAGATCTTGAAAACTATCCATATCAATACGTTTCCTGCTCCTCCGAGAACAGGGAGCCCCCCCCCCGGGAACGGAACTGGCCCCGCGCGATGTCTGGGGCAGGACGCGGACCTGAGCGGCAGCCGCCCCCCCCGCGCGGGCCTCGGGGGGGCCAGGGGAGGCCAGAGCTGAGCGCGCGCAGGCCGGTGCTGGCAGGAGGCCGGGCATACGCGCCCCCCTGCAGGCGGGCTCTGGGGCGAGACATACAAAACATGCGCAAAACATAAGCTTAACACCATCTGCTCCCCCAAAAACGTTCGCAGAAGCCCCACAAAAGAAGTCGGCACAGCGCCCTCAGACAGTCTGGGAGAACAGGAAAACCCGAAAATCGGGAAAACTACCAATATCAATACTTCATGCTCCTCTGAAGACTGTTGCTTGCCTGCTTTGTTGCACTTCCCTCCTGCAACGGGACGGGGCCCGACGTGAAGGCTGGCGCTGGCAGGGCCCCGCACGCGGAGGCCGCTCTCCATGGCGGAGAGGGCCGCCCCTGCGCGCGGCAGGCCTCGATGCCGGCCTGTGGGCCTCCGGGGGGCGCGGCCACCGATGCCGGTGGGCTCCGCGGGGCCCATCCTACAGGGTTGCGTCGGGCGCGTCCCCCCACAGGCGAGTCCTGGACGAAGCATGAGATCAGTCAACAATACCCCACAAAGTGGCCAAGAAGTGCCCAACACATCGGCCCCAGATTATTTTTGTGACGAATTGTGGATTTTCCTCCTGTGTAGAGGGACAGGCCCGATCAAATCCTACCGGGGAGCGAGCAATGACACGAGCATAACAACTCGGAGGTCCGCGCGCATTTCCTGGATCGGCAGGGTCCGCGCTGGACCCCCCCCTGGCGGCGCCTCCGGCGCCGCCCCTGGCGCGCGGAGCGCGCCAAGAAGGGGGGGGTCCAGCGCCGATCCGAGAAATCCGCGCGGACCTCCCAGTTTTTCTGTTCATGTCAGTGCTGGCTCCCCTATATCCCCAGCCGGCCGCGGAGGTGGACTGGTGGAGCTTGAGACATCGTGGCCCAGTGGGGGTGGCGATCGGCTCCACGAGACGGACCTCGGGTGCGCCAGAGAGGAGGGAGCCCGGGAGGAGCAGGGTCATCGCCTCCTGGCCCGAGGCATGTGCGCAGACGGGGAGGGGGGTGGGGGCAGGGAGCGTGCCGAGAGAAGAAACAAGAGGGGGCCATGTAATCTGGCAGATCTCATGGCCCGGGGTCGGCCTTGGTCATCATTCCTCCTGGCCAGCGGCAACTTCCTGGCTCCCCCCCGCGACATCGACGACGGGCACCCTGACCAGCATCGGCGTCGGCGCGGCCCTTCGACATCTTGGCCACAATCATCGTGCTGCCTCCCTCGGGGTCTGGCCCCAGGTGCTCCCTGCCCCAGCAGCTCCGGCGCCGTGAGCTGACAGACGTGGAGCCCTGGAGGCCCCGGGCCACTCGAAACTGCCGGGACCAGCCCTTCAAGGTGCCGCTGCCGCTATGCTCCCTGGACCGCTCCTAGGGACGCCTTCCGACCATCGCCGCTCGAGGAGAATCCAGCCGTGGCGACCAGGGCTCCAGGAGAAGCAGCGGCATCGGCACGGCGGGGTCGTGTCGTGTCGACCCCAGAGCTGGTTCCCGCCCGCGCGGGGATCGTTCCACATTGGACGATCGGCCGTCTCCGAAAGGTCCGATCGTTCGATATCGCGATCGATTCTGCGTCGCAGGCGGCGTCCAGCGTTGGAAGCCGGCGGCGGGGTCGCCGCCTGTCGACACGACGCGAACCTACCGCTCGGGGGTTGCGAAAGGTGCCCTCGGCCCAAGGTGCCCCCAGCTGGTCGCCCCATCTTGGAGCCCCTGGGGCCCTGTGGGCATCGCGAGGGGTGCTCGGGAGAGGACGTGGGACCCTCCTTGGAAATCCTGGGGGCACCGTGGGCCAAGAGGCACTTCTGGCAACGCCCGAGAGCCGTGCCTCGCTATCTTTTACACAAGCGCGTTCCGTTACTCGCAAAGTAACTACTCGCAAGTGGCCTGGATCCGCCATGGGGGGATGTACGACACCTTACATCGACACACACATGTGTTTGTCAGACGTCTGCGAGCAGGCACTTTGCGAGTGGTGGAACGCACTCGGTGATCTTTGGAGCCTCTGGGGCCCGTGCACGGCGGAGCCCGTGTACTCCAGATTTCGTAGTAGAGGGAGGGGGGTCTCATTTCGGGGGGGGGTCTCTTCCAGGCTATCTTGGAGGGCCTGGGGGGGTCTGGGGACGATGTTTTGGAGGGTTCTCCCACGGGGGGTGGGTCTCAAATGGCTTGTCTTGGAGGGTCCAGACCCCCTCCCTTTTATTACGAAATCTGGTGTATCTTTCTTGTGTGCACGGCGCGGGGGGCAGGTCGGCGAGGGCAGGGGCCGAGGCAGGGTGGGGGGGGTGGAGAGGCCCGCGGCGGAGGGCCTGCATCCGGGCGCGGAGCCGCAGGTGCGTGTTGATGCTCGGCACCACCAGCTGGGTGAGGTAGGCAACCTGGGAGGAGCGAGCTCGCGCAAGGAGGCTTAAGGATTCCTAGGGCTTCCGAAGGATTCCTGAGGATTCCTGCGGATTCCAAGGGACTCCGATGGAGTCCCAAGGATCCCTAAGGATTCCGGAGGATTCCCAAGGATTCCTACGGATTCCTAAGGATCCCTAGGGATCCCTAAGGATTCCTAAGGATCCCTCGGGATTCCTATGGATTCCCAAGGATTCCGAAGGATTCGGAAGGATCCCTAGGGATTCCTAAGGATTCCTACGGATGCAGTCCGGTCGGGCCAGTGCTCGGCCCAGCGCCGGGCGCGGCGGGGTTAAGTCGCGGGCAGCACCGCGGGTGCCCAGGGGAGCGCACGCAGGCGCCCTCGCACTCGGGAGAGTCGTAGTCTGCACATGCCTCGTTCGTGCCTCTCGACTTGGAAGTGGGCGTCTGGTTCGGTCGGGCGTGTCCCCCTGCAAGCAGATTTTAGACCACGTGTCCGAAACATTACAAAAATAGTAGAACAATTGTCGCGAGACTATCTGAATGTTGGGGATCTTCCTCCTGGAAAGTCACACGCCCGACTTAACATTGGCGTAAACGATGGTCCCGTCTCGCAGCGGGATCGCCCTCGTGACCTCCCAGCTTCGAGGGCTGTCGACGGCGGGTGCCACGGGGATCCACGAGCAGGCCAGCAGTTCGCCGTGGCGCCCAGTCGACGTGCCAGTGGAAACCCAAGACGCATCAGCGATGTTGCAATACACCCTCCCTACACACGACCTCTTGATGGTCCCATTTACAATAATACATATACAACAATACATACACGCATGTTCATTGCGGAAAGTGGCCCATTAGAACGCAACCGTCTGAGAATCCTCAGGCATGCCGAGACGCAGCTCCTGGGACTTCAACTCCGCGGATCAACGTGAAGGTTACGCCCTGACAATCCTGAATCCACCGACCCTGTCGGCTTGTGCGAGGGGGTTGTCTCTTCGAGTCGTCGTCTCCGTCAGTCGTCGTCTGCGTCGTCCACTTCCTCTACACCCTCCTCAAGCCTGTCAGCGAGAGAAAACCTCGCAATGTCATAATCGAATCGCAGGGAAGCCCCTTCCCTTTGATCCCTCCGTCGTCGGGGGTGGGGATCCCGTGGGGGGAGGGGGGACGAGGGATGGTCAGATACCCATCCCCCCCGGGGGTCCTGGGGCTGCAACAAATACCAACACAAGCCAAAAAGATGCCTCAAGAGGCCCCCGAGACAGTCCAAGAAGGCCCCCAATCACCAAACGATCGGTCCAAAACGCCTTCACGCTCCCAGACTGCCCAAGAGACCTCCAAGACGCCCCAATAGGCCTCCGAAGGCACTCCCGAGATGGCCCCACGAGGCACGAATCATTGGGTGTTTGGCAAATTTTGGGTGTTCTCGCCTTTTCCGCCTCCCGCCGCTCCAAGACGGCCGAAGAGGCCCTCAAGATCGCCCCACGACGGCTCTCAAGAGGCTTCCAAGAGCGCTCCGAAACATCCCAAGAGAGCCCCAACACAGCACAGAACGCCTCCAAGACGGCCCAAGAGGCTCCCAAAGCATCCCTGAGGACTCGGGCCCACGTCAGCGTCGTCGTCGTCGCCGCCACCGCCGCCGTCGTCGTCGACGTCCCCCTGCAGGGTCGACGGCACTGGCCGTAAGGCCTTCGCAATCGTACCAGAACATCGTTCCTGGGACTGCAACACCGCGAATCCACATGACTATTGTACTCGTGGGATTTCGACCACACGAACCCAGGAAAGGAGGAGGAGGAGGAGGAGGAGGAGGAGGAGGAGGAGGAGGAGGGGAGGAGGAGGAGCAGGAGAAGGAGGAGGAGGAGGAGGAGGAGGAGGAGGAAGAGGAGGAGGGAGGGGGAGAGGGAGGGGGGGGGGAGGAGGAGGAGGAGGAGGAGGAGGAGGAGGAGGAGGAGGAGGAGGAGGAGGAGGAGGGAGGAGGATGCCCCCGGGCCCCGCGCCTTTTCCAGGCCAGAACTTGTGTCTCGAAGCGCAGGCTTATCCGCCCACCGGGCGAGGGGCGCAGATGGGCTGCGCGACCCTCTCGATTCGTCGCCGGCGAGTCTCCACTGATATTTCACACATCTGAGGCAGAAAAAGGCACAGGGTGGTGGAGGGGACAGAGGATGGAAGCTTGAGCAGAGGCGATGGCAACGGCATCGCGTCGGCCTGATCCTGCGGGGCAAGGGCAAACACGTTTAGAAAACAAGGGCATGCCCCCGGGCCCCGCGCCTTTTCCAGGCCAGAACTTGTGTCTCGAAGCGCAGGCTTATCCGCCCACCGGGCGAGGGGCGCAGATGGGCTGCGCGACCCTCTCGATTCGTCGCCGGCGAGTCTCCATTCCCCAGACTGGATGCCTGGCAGCCGACAGAGACCTGCACGACAAAAAGAACAGAATAGAAGGGCCTGGGCATGCATGTGCGCACATACTGGCTACATGATGAGGCGTGCACACCTGGCGTGCTCGATGCTTGACGCGCTACTTACAAGCCACCTAGCTAGGGCACGTGAGACAGGCTTGGGGTATGGCTCAGCTAGCTGTGTCCATTTCTTTCCACCTGGACCGTTCCCTTGAAGTGTGATATGCCCCAGTCCCGTGGCCGAGCAGATACCGTTTCTTCCAGAGCATCGTTTCTGCAGGATCCAGGGGGCACGGCCACAGCACCACGCACAAAACCTGGTCGATTTTCTCCATCTGGTCCCGTGCTGGCAGTAGTCAGTACATGTCTCTACACAATTTCGAAGCGAGCGAAGGTGGTCCTGGACGGGTTCTTTCCACACGAGCGAGGTCAAAGGGTTCTCCATAATGACTGGGACTCCATATTTGAGGCACATCATGATGATATGCTGGCTATGCTTCACGGTGACGTTACCGATGAGGACCCGCTGCTTCGCTCTGCTATCAAGCTCGCTTCGACCATATATTGAATTCAAATCTCTGTAGTACCCATGCGATGCATTCGACCATGTTGAACAGGGAGGAGCGAGAAATACACCACGAACGACCCGACTCGATATCCAGCCTCTGATGATTCTGATGAGGGCCGGATTTGTCAAGTCGAAGGCCTCGTCGTCGACAAGATCGAGATACACGACTCCCCACTCCCCCGTCTTCTCCAACTCCTTACTCACACTTCTGCTCCCAGAAAACAAATCGAGAAAAACCTGTCGACGTCTCCCTCGACGCAGAGCCTCGCGAAGCGCACGTTGGCACCTACGAAGTAGAACGGAATACGAGACGCGGCGTACGGCTTGACCGGCATCGCCTGCCTTCCACACACAACCTGCCTTCAAGGGGCCGTCGCCATCAGCATAGCGGGGAGCGCCGGCTGGAACTTCCCCGTGATCACATCTGCCAGCCGCTCGCTCACCTGGTGCCCGTAGCTCAGGATGGGCTTGGGAACGGCGGCCAGCTCTGCCAGATACCTGGCGTGCTTCGCGTACCGCTTGCTGGACCGGTCGGTGGCGTGCCTCAGGCGGTGCTGGATGTCCGCCAGCGCCCGAAGCCCCTCGGCCGCATCGCAGCTCGCTGCCCCGTGGCGCACCTGGTAAGGGTGTGCCGTGTCGTGGCCCAGGGCGCGGAACAGCGCGCGGAACTTGCGGCCGAACCCGTAGGCCGTCATGCTCCACACCCGCCCCTCGGGCCCTGCCGCGTCCTTGAGCTGCTGCAGGCGGCGCCCGATGGCCACGGACATGGCCGACGTCAAGGTGGCGCTCTCGTCGAACTGGCCCGCCTTGCTCCGCAGCGGCTGCTCCTCGGGGTACAGCAGGAGCGCCCACGCCTCCCCAGCCGGCATCGCGCCCCCTGGGAGGCGCACAGGCGGCACCAGCGAAGCTCCCGTCAGCTGCAGGAGGTCGCTGGGGAGGCGCAAGTAGGTGTCCCAGCTCAAGCACAACGCAGTCGCCATGTCGCGCCACCCCCACAGAGTGGCCAACCCCACAGCAGCGAACACCAGCGGCTTGGGAAGCGGAGCCCGCGTCTGCCCGTGGCCCAGGCGGCGGTACCCCTTCATGGCGGCGAGCGTCGCCTCCATCTTCCCGTGGTCGCCGATCCCTGCCTTCGGGAGGAAGTACCTGAGGGCGGCGTACAGCTTGTCGGCGCGGTCGTGGTTGTAGCCCGCGAAGAACAGCGCATCGAGGTACAGAGGCATCATGGTGTTCACCTGCTCGACCGTAACGGGGGTCACCCCCCGCTCCTGGCACCACTGGCGGAACTCGTCCCACTCGCGCTGGAAGTTCCTCCTCGCGTGGTGCCCCACCTTCTCGAACTGCAGCACCGTGAGGCCCAGCTGCTGCGCCGACTTCGCCTTGAAGCCATGCGCTCGCCGCCGGTGAGCTGCTCGGGCCTCCAGCTTCGCTGCCGCCGACATCCGCGAGGTCGACGGCACTCTCGCTGCTGCTTGTCGAAGAAGAGGTGGAACTGTCACTCGAACTTCTGGCCGTCGTCGACCCTTGTGTACCACTGATGCAGCGAGGCTCCCAATACATGGCATGGGCCGCGCCGCCTGGCTGAGGGTCTTCGACGAGGAGGTCACCAAGCCCACAGAGGCCCGCCCCTGCACTGTTGGCGCGGTCGCGCAAGAGGACCTCGTCAACCTGGGCCCGCAGAGCCTCGGCGGCCCTCCATTGCTTGAAGGCCTCAGAGTAACTAGCATGTCGAGGATCGCCCCGTGGATCAGATACTTGAGCCGATGCTATACGTGACGGAGCGTCCCCAGGCTGCCACTCTGAGGGAATCCAACGACTGATAAAGGTAGATCCTGAGAAAATTGACAAAGCTGCGAGCAGGCGAAGCTGACGATTGACAGTGACTGAAGTGGACCTTCCTTTTCCAATGGCCAAGACAAGGCCCAAATTGTCGATCAGCATAAGGTGGCGCCGATGAAAACGCCCGACTGCACGCAAGCGATGCCTAGCACCCATCAGAGCTGCACGCGCCTCTAAAGTCATGATATCCTCTGCGCGCCTGAAGCGGCCGCTGAAAAGGACCTTCCACGCCCGCTTGTCGCCGACCAGCTCCTCTGGCACCGAAATGAAGTCGGTGGTGCCACGTCGCCGGCCGGCCGCCGCTGGCGAGGGCTCGCCCTCGGCGCTGCTCGCAGGCGCAAGGCTGGCCAACTGGTCAACCAGGTCCTCCGTGCCAGCTGCCCGTGGCCCACGCGGGGCGTGGAGCCCCAGTGCCGACGCCCGAGCCGAAATGGCCGAGCTGACGCCGTACCTCCAGCGCTCGCTCTGGGCCATGGCAAGCTCCACGGCCTCTGGGTCCCGATCGAGCTCCGTGACCCCGAAGCCCCCGTGGTCCTGCAAGCCCGCGCCAGAGGCGTCTGACGCCAGCACCACTGAGTCGTCCAGGCGGCGGCAGTCTGCGAAGGCGAAGGGCAAAAGAGCAGCTGCTTGCCTGATCTCCGTCTCCACCTCAGCCCACAGCCGACGTCTGGAGCTCCCCGCCTTTCGCACGAAAATGTACGACTGGAACAGCAGGCTCAGCATGCAGCGGCGCAGCAGCGCGCACCAAGTGAAGTGGCCGAGAAGACGTGATAACTCGTCTCCTGTCGCCCACCCGCGATCAGCGATCCAGAGCAGCGCCAGACGGGTCTTCCAGATTCGAGATGCAGACATCTTGATCGTAGCAGACTTCTTCTCAAAAACCATGCCAGTGAACACCTGCTCGTCAGAGGGCGGGCTCACGCCCTTGCAAGCAAGACCGACGCTCTCCATCCTGTTGACTATCTGCTCACAGGCAGCGACAGCAAGTTTGGAGTCCTGGCTCACGACCGCGACGTTATCCACATACACCCCGATGCCCAGTGAGACTTTGTCCAGACTTGGGGCCACATGGCGGTCGCGAATGAAAAACTCCTCGGGGTATCCAGCATCGAGCACGCACTGTTCCAGTAAACGTTGGCAGAAATGTAGTGACCAGGCCCACCCCATTGGGAGAACTGTCAGCAGCGGAGATATTAGGGCGCCTGGGGGAAGAGACGAGCCCTCCACGCCGAGCGCCTCGATCAGCGACTCCCTGTGCACGGCCGGCAGCGCGAAGTGGTCGCACATGCCCGGGGCCAGCTCGATCCTGTAGAAGGCGTTATCCACGTCGGCCTGGGCCAAGTTCAGCTCCGCGTCGGTGCCAACCTTGATGGTGCTCCAGGCCGATGCAGTGGCCAACTGAGTGTAGGCTGGATCCACGAACCGCGAGTTCACCCGACGGGTGTCCAAAATCATCCTTTGCCGCACTTTGTCGGACTTCCAGACGAAAAATACCCCCACCGTGTGAGGGCGCCTCTTGCCAAGCGAGACCAGGCCCAAGCGATAAAGGTCAGAAATGAAGTTAGCGTACCCGACTCGATCGCGAACAAGGGCCTGGTCGGAGTAGGGCCTGATGTCTTCAACATCGGCGGGGTGTTGACGCAGGATGCGCTGCTGCCAATGTACCCATTGATCAAGCACGTCGCCCTTCAGCACGTCGTCTGGCTTGCAGCGCATGCCCGGGGACGGTAGAGAAACTCGTTCTCGTTGATACGCAGCACGATGCACCGACTCCATGTCGTAGCCGGGCACGACCCCGCAAAGCTCCCGGTGGGCTTCCGCGGCGCTGCATGGGGGAGACCCCACGCTGCTGATGACTTCACGAAGGTGTCGCAGGCCCTCTGACTGCGCCACGGAGGCGCCCGACTCGGACTTTGGAGCCTGAACGCCAGCCAAAAGATTGAGGCTCTCGGAGGCCTCGTGCACCCAATTGTCGATGTAGCCGCGGCGCCGAGCTCGAGACCGAACAGCGCGGCAGCACGTCGCCCCTGGCGAGGCGACGGGAGCGCCACGGGCGCCGTCCACAGGGAACAGCTCCCGTGGCACGGGCATGCTCGAGTCAACCTTTCATCCCGGCCGCCCCTGGGCCGGATGTGTTGCCGCCCTTGCCGTCGGCCTTGCCGCCCGCGGCGGCACTCTGCAACTTCTTGAGCTCCGCCGCCTGCTGCTGCACCTTCTTCTGAAGCTCGGCTTTGCTGGAGGCGCCTGCGCCGCCTCCACCGCCACCTCCTCCGCCGCCCCGAGCGAGAGCCCTTTCCTCGCGAACCTTCCGCTTCTCCTTGAGGATGGACGCCTCGCGATGGAGCTCGGAGTTGATGTGCTCCTGCAACTCGGGGGAGACCCCATCAGCAAGCCTCTGGTCTCCCCCGTTCCCATGTAGAGAAACTGGTCATCGAACAGCTCGTCCTTTGAGCGGCCCAGCACCCTGTCACGATGCCGCCACTCCGCCATCTGAGCACGGCGGGCCAGAAGCTCGTAGGCCGCGTGCTCAGCGATGTTCACCTGGTCGAAGACGATGCCCATCTCGAACATCCTCATCGCCAAGTCGTGATCCTGCACGCCCTCGTCCCACGGCTCCAGGTTGGCCTCGTGCACCCACTTTGTGTGACGCGCGCGAGGGTGCTGGTCCTGCTGTGAAAGAAAATCTACGCACCACTTCACAGTGCGAGGGCCCATGATGGGCCAACCTGTCCAAGAAGTCTCCGTCAGCTGGCTCACCCCCTTCGAGAAGGGAAGATGACGAATCTGCTGCGCGCTCAGCGTCATCGGCAGCAGGCGGGCGTCCAGCTCGAACTCTGGGCCAGGCGCTGAGGGATCCACCGCGGCTGCGATGATCAGGGCCCCCCCGCGCCTCGCCAACACATAGTCGCCCATCCGCACGAACGAGTCAACCTTGATCGTGCTCAGCTTCTGCTTGTCAGCGCTCCCGTCAGTCGAGGTCAGCCCGTGCCACTCCAATGGCCCCGCATCTGGCAGCTCGTCCCGGCCCGACTCGAAGTCAGTCGCTTGAGCTGTTGCCCCAGTCACGGGGGCGGGGGCCTGCTTGCCGTGGTACCGCTTGTACTTGTCGGCTGGCGGCGACGGGCTCTGCGCGAACTCCAGCGCCTCCATAACCTCGAGTGGCGTCGGATCCCAGTCGTCGCCGTATGCCGCACTCCGAGCTGACCATTTCTTCCCATGGTTGCTCCCCGCGATCACCTGGCCCTCGTTGTTGAACGCCACGATACCAGTCAACAGCCCGTCCCCGACCTCGAACACGTGTGGATAGATGTCCAGGTCGGGGGTCAACGCGTACCAGATCACCCCCGCTTTCTCCTGAGCTAGAGTCGCGGCGACGTCGCCCTCGGTCTTGGCCTCGTCGGCGCCGCACGGGGCGATCAGGATACGGGTCTCCCACGATCCTCTCTGGTGCCACTGCACGGCCACTCGGCGCCCGGCTTTGAAGACAGACATGGCAGCACAGCGTCAGCGAGCAGCCGATCAGCAGCCCGAGGCAGAACACGAAAGAGAGAGCCACGCCCAGGTACTCAGCAACCTGGCTCTGGAAGAAGCACTGCCGGGCCACCTCGACGGCTGGCCCGAGGGATGCTGCCCAATTGCCTGCGCGCGCGAGGAAGCCAGGGAGTGCGGAGAGACTTGGCAGCATGCAGGTCTCTGGCGGTGGCCGCCTTTCAAGCTTGAACAGAGGCGATGGCAACGGCATCGCGTCGGCCTGATCCTGCGGGGCAAGGGCAAACACGTTTAGAAAACAAGGGCAGGAGGAGGAGGAGGAGGAGGAGGAGGAGGAGTGGAGGAGGAGGAGGAGGAAGAGGAGGAGGAGGAGGGAGGAGGAAAGAGGGCAAGGGATGACGGGGAAGCTGGGAACTGGATTGGCCTGCATCCCGAGAGAGGCTGGTCCCGAGGCGAGAGGAGGAGGAGGAGGAGGAGGGGAGGAGGAGGAGGAGGGGAGGAGGAGGAGGAGGAGGAGGTGAGGAGGAGGAGGAGGAGGAGGAGGAGGATGAGTGAGGGGGAGGACTAGACGAGGGCGAGGAAGAGGGGGCGGAGGGGAGGGGGAGGGAGGGAGGGAGGAGAAGGAGAGGAAAACGATGGGGGGGAGGCGGGGGGGGCGGGGGGGGGGCGGGAGGGCGCGGAGGCGGGGGGGGGGGAGAGGGCGAGGAGAAAAGCGAGGAGGGGGAGGAGGGAGGAAGGGGAGGGCGAGGACCCCCCGCAAGCCCCCTCCCCCGGCCGCCTCCCGGCCGCCCTCCATCGTGGGCAGGAGCCGCTCGAGCACGTCCGCTGCGATCTCCTGCCCCGTGCAGAGCAGCCTGGCAGCAGGCTGCGGCAGGGGGGGCACCCCTCCCCTGCGGCGAGGCCGAGAGGAGGGCAACGTCGGGTGGGGGTAGACCTGTAGGTCGGGCCTGTTCCCCCACAGGCGGATCTTGGACGAAACCCAAAAAATCATAACAAATCAAAACATATCTCAAAACGGTTAGAAGATCGTGCCCAGACTATTTTTTGATTATTTTGGAATATTCCTCCTGTGGAGGGGCGCGCCCGATTTCAGGATGAATCGAGAACCGCTGGGATCCGGCGGCTCTGGGCGATGTCTCGGACGCAGTCGGCCTTCTCAGAGCGTTCTGCCACGGACGCCCTGGCACGGATCTATCCTCAGGTCGGGCATGTCCCCCTACAGGCCGATTTAGGACGGAAAAAATAATAATAGCCAAAACCATATTCAAACATGGTCAAAAAATAGCCGAAGATCGTCCCCAGACTATGTTTTGAAACTATGTTTGAATATTCCTCCTGCAGAGGGACACGCCCGCCTCGAATCTACCCTCGCCCTGGCCCCGTCCGATCCCCCGCCCTCATGCGCTTCGCAGGCGGCTGTGGGGGGCCTCCGATCTTTTGACTACCTACCAGACCACCCCAACCCAACCCGAAGACCCGAATTTCGGGTGGGGGGGGTAAGGGTTCCACATGTGTTTTTTCGATGTTTCCCGACCCCCCCCCCCACTGGAAGGGTAAATCTGAGCCTTCGGGTTGGGTTGGGGTGGTTTGGTGGGTGGTGATCTCTTGTGTCTCCGTGTGCCTGCTGCCCCGTCTCGGAGCCCTCCGGGGATCTCGGGAAACCTCGGGGAGCCGCCGGGGAGCTGCCTCGTCTCCTCCAGCGGCAACGGGCTGAGCAAGCTCGCGACGGCGGTCGTGGGCGCCGCAACCACGGGATCAGAAGCTGCGGGACGCGTAAGATCACGCCCGCCCACATGCACACACGCGCACACACACAGACAGCTCGATCCCCATCGACAGGCCGCCCTCCCGTGCAAGCAATATCCTCTCTCGTTCACGCTCGCTGCCTCTTTCCTTTTTTTTGTTGTTTTCTCTCTCTCTCTCTCTCTCGCTCTCGCTCTCTCTCTCTCTCTCTCTCTTTCTCTCTCTATATATATATGTATATCCACCGAACCTTGTTCTGATGAACCTCTTCCTTCCTCCTAATCTCCCCCCCTCCCTAGCCACCTCGAGAACCGAACAGCCACGGGAGTGGCCGTGGCCACGGCTGCTACCTAGACCTGCCCGACACCAATCTGGCGCAGGCAGACCGTTTGCGTATCGTTCGTGTATGTGTTTTGAGCCTCTCTCGCTCTCTCTCTCTCTCTCTCTCTCCCTCTCTTTCTCTCTTTATATATGTATATGTGTATCCACCAACCCTTGAGAGACACGCCCATTTCACTCACACTAACGCCCGATCCTTCCCAGAGTATGCTCAGTCTTCCTTCCGTCGCAATTCTGGTTCAGGTCAAAGCAGGCTATGGTAGACCACGAGTCCAAGGAGTGCTCAGAGATCGCGATCTGACTCACACCTCCATCGGAGGTGCCCGCTCTGGCCACGATAACATCTCTCTCTCTCTCTCGCTCTCTGGCGTGCTGCTCGGTGGGGCATTCGCAGCAAAACGATGTCCCACATCCTGCTGCGTACCGGCTTGACAGCTCGAGCAACGGAATGGTAAGGTTCACGCCCCGAGTTCTTGGTGTTCGGTCTGTCGAGTGCTGGGATCGTACTCCACTGCTCCAACGTGCACGACTAAGCATGCCCTCGACGTTTGTGACGGTGATCTGCTTGGAAGACGTGCTTGATCGTGTGAAGAGCTTTTCCACCGACGCGACCAGAGCGTGTTAGAGGTGTCGATCACGCACTACCAGGTGTGGTGTCTGGCCCCCCTCTCTGGGACACGGAGATGCCGTGGAGGAGGTTCCCGTGGACTTCTGAGCTCAAGAGGGTCAACGAGGACGCGGCTCCTGGCAGCTAGTCTCGGGCAGCTGGCAGGACGAGGAGAAGACGGCCACGTCACGAGAATCTTCCTCCTCCTCCTCCTCCTCCCCCTCCTCCCTCCTCCTCCTCCTCCTCCTCCTCCTCCTCCTCCTCCAGTACTTACAACAACGACTTGATCCCGAAGTACAGCCACGACTGGTTGGATCCGAAGCGGAGCTGGAGGTCGTGCGACTCCTGATTCCGTACCCTCATGAGCAACATCCCGATTATGCGAAGATCTCGGGCAGTCTTGCGACATCCTTCAAGAAAGAATTCAGAACCCAATAAGAGCGAAGTCGGAGCGGATATCCGATTCTGGTTCTGGGCCCATCGCTTCCGCCGTCGCAATGGTGCATCTGTTATCACGACTTCTGCGTCCTTGTTAGAACTCACGGAGCCCAACCTGCTGAGTCTCGGGCCTTCAAAGGACCAGCGTGTTAGGCCATCATCGGAATTGTACTGTTGATGTCAGGGCTCGCACGTTCGATGGAGGGTATCGAACCACCGTCACCAGCGAAATGGGCGAGGCCATTACTTCGTATTCTCCCTCCAGTGCGGCGTCGGGCAATAGATCAATGCTCCGAACGTATTGTGATGACGGCCATCCAGAGTATGTTGGGCCTACCCACACACGCGCTTGGGGTTGTCGTCTGCATCCGAGGCTCGCACAGATCGCTGCATCTTTAGACGGCGGTCTTGAGGAAAGGAAGTCGTTCAGGAGTACTGCGACGGATCCAAAACCATACTCGAGGACTCATATTTCCAAGGCGTCGTCCAAGGAATAGGCCGAGACATCGTGAACTTCGACGTATCAACCGTATCAGCAAACTTCAATTTCGAAACCTTAGCAATCACATGAATCCGGCCGAATGCGAAGACCGAGCTGATGAACAAGAATCTGAAGTCGTAGGCCAACGACGTGGACTAAACTCCCTGCATGCATCACTCAAGAAGAAACTGAGACGACGACTCCCGTCATGGCGACGACGGCACACCCAACGCATACCCCACCCTAAAGATGGTGGACAACGACTCGGGCAGTGCCCGACGTGAAGGTGCACGAAGCTCGAGGCCCTCTGGCTCGGTTACCAGGTGCGTTGTCCACTTGGCGAATGGCGTATTCTGCACATAAATAAAATGACTTCAGCTTGACCCGGCAAGAAGACCCGCAACCGATTCTGCAGCCTGCTCGTCGAGGATTACGGCTCGCCTACCCTGCTGGCACCTGGAAGCCATGACGGCATTGCCCGCACCACAGTCGACTGCAACTGGGGGCCATCCATTTCGGGGCGGCCAGTTCCGCACCTCACGTCCTCCAGGACTTGTCCATTGTCAACGCAAGCCCAACTTCTACACCAGTCTTATGTTGCTCCCATCGTACTGAAGGTCCACACCCCAGAAATAAGTTCGAGCGCCCAGACAAGTAGCGAAACAGTGTCGAGCGAGTATCGCCTCCCAGGGCGCGGCACGTGAAAACCCTCCAGCTTCGGTACTTCTTGGTGCTCGAAATTCCCTCGATCAAGGCATAAGTAGGTTGGAACATCATGGCACCAGTCGTCACCTCCGAATCCTGAACCTCCCCACTGCTGGGTCAAACCTGCTACAATGACCGTATGAGTCCCGCCAGACCACGCACCGGCAGGTGGTACGAGGAGCCATGATGAGCATAACACGCAGTATGAAATTCGAACCTGCCAGGAGCTGTTACCAACGACTTACACGAGTGGCGTACCAAGGGCGACCGATCTGGAAGGACAACGTATCGGCCAGGAGGTTCTGTACAGAATATAGGTCGGAGTGCCTACAAGCGCCAGTGCCAGAGCCCAAGTTCGGCACTAGCCCCTCGAACCTGAGCGTGCTCTGAGGATGTTAGCACTACCGGTGTGGCTCCCCCCGAAGGTTTCAGCAGGGTCGCCAAGAACGGCACCCTTCGAGTGGGCCCCATCAGCACGTTAATCTCCCATCCTGGTAAAGAAGGGCTTGGACTATCTAGCCAAACGTTCCTCGATGGGCACGATACCCCGAATCACCCAGAATAATATCATCCCAACAATGGAGAGATCTGGAATCGACACTTTCGACCTCGGTTCCCCAGGCGAAGGACATCATCATCATCATTATCATTATCATCACCATCACCATCACCATCATCATCACCATCATCATCATCATCATCACCATGATCATCATTATCATTAACATTAGCATCATCCCTCGCCATCAGCACCATCACCATGCCCATCACCATCATCATCAGCATCGGCATCAGCATCATCATCAGCAACATCGCAGATAAGGGGCAAAGGGGCCGAGCTTGGGAAGCGGACGGATCTGATGTGATTCAATGGCTCCACCACACGGCTGCACTAGATGATGAATGGATTGATGAAACATGATAGTTCTAGATACGACGCTTCACTATGGCTTTGGACTAGGGCTGATCAAGGCGTACCTCCACGGCTTCGGACAGCAACGATGACACCCCGCCCATCCAAGACGACCCCCCCCCGCATGTTTCCCATCTGTCCAAAACGTACGTGATTCCTCGACGGCGGGACCCGATGTTGCACCGAACCTGAACACGGTTGCACACGTAGACTTGTGACACCAGCGGATGCGCCTGGCACGGAAGGGTACCTATGTGTAGGACGTGCCACATGCCATCTGGCACAAGCCAGAGGACCCTCAACTTCTTGTATGAACGAGGCAGCACACGAGGTTCTGGCGATACTCAAGGAGCTGGATCCACGGACTCGTGCCTCAGGTGCGGCTGCTGTGTGTCTAACGTGCTGGTGGTGGTGGCCGACGCAGCCCAAGCCTACGAGCAATGCAACGCCAACCTCATCGGCACTGCATGGCAGGAGATCTCAACTGCAATCGTTTATCAGCCGGGCTCAAGCGATGCTCTGGCCAAGCGTGGCCTTGAAGTCAAGACGTGGACATTGACGCCAAACACCCCTGCGAACTGCTTCATGATAGCAGCGCATGGCACTGCGAGAACGATGCTTGCGTGAGGCTTGCTTTCTCTCGTGATCGTTGGAGGTATATATATATATATATATATATAAGCTATGAGTTACGAGGCCTTCCTATCAGAAGGGTCCTCTCAAGCGTGGCTTGTTCTGTTTATCTTGCTTGAACCGTCATCTTCCTCGACATCGATCGAAGCTCGACAGACAAGGTATGTCGACGATATCTTTGGTGTGAGCAGGGTGTACTGCAAAAAGTGTGACTTCGAGTTCCTCGAGGACACAACTCCTGCAGTACACCCTGAATCTCTGGCTGGTGTATAGGATAAAATTGCCCCAAGCATCAAACGTCGAGGAAACCGAGGACCCCTGCATGTCATTGGATTTACAACTGTGGCCCATGAGAACAACTCCAGATGGATCACCCAGTGAAGCACACATCGTGCCAAGCTCGAACAGCCCGACCCTGGACTGCCTGCAAAGACAAACCTACTGTCCTGGCCAGGAACCCCCCCGAGGGGAATCGGCATTATCGTGCCCTTGTTCGCGGGCAGACTCGCGCCCAGCATCTTTCGCTCTCGACCCTCGCCACCCTGTCCTGAATCCTGGGACTTGAGCAGGGACCGACCGTCTCGGCATTCCTATAGTCCTACCACGAAATGTTCTTAGAACCCAGAAATCATCTAAGAGCGAAAACAAGGTTCTTAGAAAATAAACCCGATGTGTTAAAACACAGCAGTCCCAGCCAGACATGTTCTACGAACATATCGTGGAAACCTCAAAAAGGTTCTTAGAACATTGTTTGGTAGGGCTATAGGCGAGCCAGGACGCTTCGCCACTGCTGGAGGGAAGCTGCCCTCGAGATGCTCCTGCGAAGCTGCCCTCCGAGCGTCACCCCGGCAGCCGTGCGCCCCTGCCCGTGGCCCGCTGCCATCCACGGGGCTCGGGTGCTCCTGCGTCGCTGGCAGAACTTCCGCCTTCCCGACACCGTGGGCCTTGGGGGCGGCAGGCGCCAGTCGTGGAGCAAGAGAACGGCCAGGACGGGGACGGCCGGTGTGGCGGCGGTGGCTGGTGCTCGGGGCGCGGCCAGTGGAGCCGGCGTGACGGTGGCAGGGACGGCGGGTATGGTCGCCGTGGCCAGGATCGCCACGGGGGCGCCAGCAGCGATCACGCGCGATCGTGACCGAGTCTGTGATCGCGACCAACGCGGCCGTGAGGTCCCGCGGCCAGCGTGACGGGGGCCGTGGGGGCAAGGAAGGCGGGAGATCACGCTCACCCTCGCCGCGGGCACGCGAGCTGGAGAAGATGAGGAAGTCTTCTGGGCGAGCCGGTCCCGAAGTACAGCGCGTCCCAGAAGACAAACGAGAGCGGGCAGAGGAGGTGAAACTCAGACGTCAGGGGGGAGTACGCGATGGCCACGATGGAGACTGCGTTCGGGGACCTATTCGCGAAGCTAGCCGAGGCGCAGTCGGACACGGCAGCGAAATCGGACACACAACGGACGTGCTCACCGACACCTGTCGCGTCGCCGCCAGATCAACGTGGCGTGATGGACAGAGCGGAGATTGGCTGGCTCCAGCACATCCTGGGCAAGAAGGACACCCTCCCGAACAGGCTGACATGGGGCCAAGCAATTTCGACTCTCGAGGGGGCGCTCAAGAAGAAGGTAGTCGGAAAGGTCAACGAGCGTATCGAGGCTCACTTCCCGCGCAAGTCCTTGCCGTCGTCTCAGGAGAAGCGTGTCCCACTCGTGCTCAACATGATCAACGGATCGGCCCTCTGAGCAGATGAGTCATATCTTCGAAGCTGGCTTCGACTACGAGCGGGAGTGGGATGACGGACCAAAGATTCGGCACGCCATGGTCAGGACAACAATGACCTGATCGTTCCGTGCACGACTTATCTTGGCACGTGTAATCCAGTTGCTCCTTCCCCGTGGATAACTGGCGTGTGGCCCAGGTTATCAAGGCATGTGTGCCCAGCGAGCCAAGAGGTTCTGAGTTCTTCATGCCCCTGACTGTGTATCTCAAGACGCCTTCTTCATCCCAATGTTGTCACCACAACTTCATGCACTGCCATCTCTATGCCGCCGTAAACCTGCGAAGCCCGTGCTATTCCCCGTGGGTGCGATCACCGTTAGCGGTGGCGCGGGAAGATCGCTGAGCTTTTTAGGGGTCTCACACTCTCTCTCTCTGTCAACCTGCCCTTGCTATGATGAGCATCTATCTCCCTCCTTAGCTCCCCCCTGCCCTCCCACCTCGAGAGCCGACAAGCCACGGCAGTGGCCTGATCACCGCTGCTGCCTAGACCTGTCCGACACCACTCTGGCGCAGGCCGACCGTTCGCGTGTTCGTTTGTGCATGTGTGTTGAGCCTTCCATCTCACTCTATCTCTTTCTCCAGCATCCTTGAGAGACACATCCGGTTCACTCACTCACTCACACACCTTCACACACACCCTCTCTTTCACTATAGATGCATGTGTACATCTACACATCCTGGTTCGAGTATCTTCGGAATTTCTTACATCGCAAAACTAATCAATGTCAGGGTAGGTCACGAGCCCAAGGAGTGTTTACAACTCGTAATCAGACGCACACCTTTATCGGAGGTGCCCGCTCTGACGGCGATAACATCTCTCTTTTTCTCTCTCTCTCTCTCTGGCTTGCTGCTTGGTGGGGTAAGCAGGAAAGGACTCTCTCACTCTCCCTCTCTCTCTCTGTCTGTCGCTGCGGCCTCTATCTCTGTTCCCTGTCTGTCTCTGCACTCTCTCTTTCTCCCTCTCTCCTCCGTCCATAAACTTGCTCCCCCCGGGAGAGGAGGAGGAGGAGGAAGAGGATGAGGAGGAGGAGGAAGAGGGAGGAGGAGGAGGAGGGAGGGAGGAGGAGGGGAGGAGGAGGAGGTGGAGGAGGAGGAGGAGGAGGAGGAGGAGGAGGAGGAGGAGGAGGAGGAGGGGAGGAGGAGGAGGAGGAGGAGGGAGGTCGACACCCCCTTCCCGATGCTGCAAGGGTGGGGGGCTACGAGGACAGGGCGCCACACCAGCGAGGCACGAGACCGGGGGAGGCGCCAGACGTATGCAGAACTCGGTTCCCGAACGGGGCGAGGTCGGGGGCACCAACAACAAGCAACAGAAGAGGAAACAACCCCGTGGAAAAACACACACACGCACACACACACACACACCCACGCACACACACACACAAACACACACACACACACACACACACACACGTGGAAACAAAACAAGCACGCGAATTGTTTTTCCACAGACGTGTGTGTGTGTTCCATACACGTGTGTGTGTTGTTTTTTTGTCCACAGAGGTGTGTGTGTGTATGTGTGTATGTGTTTTCCACACGCGCCGTGCTGCGCGTCAGCGCGCGCGCCGCGCTGAGCACCGAGGCATGAGGGGGGAAGCGTGCTCCAAGTACCGCGGGTTCGTGTCGTGTCGACCCTGGCGTTGGTTCCTGACGCCGCGGGGATCGTGCAGTCATACCCTTGGACGATCGGCCTCTTCTCGGCATCGGCATGCGGCGTTCAGAGTTGAACGCTGGCGGCGGGGTCGCCGCCGGTCGACACGACACAGGATTACCGTACGCACCACGCTCGCGGAGGGAGCCAGGTTGGGCGACGGGGACAAGAAATAGGCAGGCGCTTGCTGTGGCAGCGTTCAACGCCCGTCGCGCGAGGATGCGGGGAATGATCGTCGTCCTTCTGCTCCTCCCTCGTCGCATCACTCCAACACTCCTCCATATTTGCGGCCCCTCCTCCCTTCGGCGCTCCTCCACACCCCACTCACCCCCGTTCCCCTCCCACCTTTGCTCCCATCCCAACCCCCTCCTTAACCCATTCGCGTATTCTCACTGCTACTCTTCCATCCTGCTGACTCCGCGTCACCCCCCCTTCCTAGTGCGCATCGGACTCATGCCGCTGCTGCTGATGCTGCTCTTCTGGAGGGAGTGGCGCGGGCCTGATGCTGGGATACGAGGTCGAGAAATCCCTGGACAGCACATCGAGGAGCGCGATCTGCTCTTGAACTTTCGCAGCGTTCATCTTGAAGGTGGCCATGATCGGGATCACCTCACCCCGCGGCCCCGTCCCTCTGGGGCGCGCAGAAGGGGACTGCTTCTCAGAACGCGCCGGCCTTGCGCCTTCCAAGAAGCAGCCCCCTTCTAAGAAGCCTTCCCCCCTATCCCCCTCTGCGCGCCGCCAGGTTCCCCTCTCCATTCGGCAATGGACAAACCTCCCTTTAGTAAACCTCCCCTTAGTGGAAACGGCCTGGGACCGAAACCGACGGACCTTGACCCACAAAAACGACGGCCGCGACGCCCTCTCGCGAACCGAAAACGGCCAAATCACTAATCGACGTGTCAGGGTAGGAGGTCTGTCCACCCCCGATCTAAGAAGCCTTCCCCCCTACCCCCCTCTGCGCGCCGCCAGGTCCCCCTCTCCATCGTCCTGGGGCCTCCCAGGACGTCTGGTGCCATCTCTGGAGGCCTGGGACGCCCAGAGGGGCGAGAGAGCACCAAAGTCGCTCCAGCAGGAAAGAGAGCGCGCGGACCTGTTTTTGTTGAAGGGGCCCTGGGGCACACAAGATAAGTACATACAAATAACCAGATTCCCAATAGTTTCGCATATGTTCTTGGGTGTTGTCTTCCCCCCCACACTTCCAATGTTTTCCCATATTTCCTGGGAGAGGACGATTAATTGTGTCTGTGTGTGTTTCCCCCTCATGTTTTTTGCCTGACCTCCCTTGGGGGTCTTTTTGGAGCCCTCTCCAATCGTCTTTGGGGCCTCCTGGGCCTCCTAGCTGAGGCCACATTGGCCTGTCTTGACAGCATCTTGACCCGTCTTGCAGCTGTCTTGCAGCCGTCTTGAAGCCGCAGTGGGCCGTCTGAACGCTCAAGAGGCCCAGGAGCCGAGCAACCAGGGCTTTAGAGGGCTTGGGGGGGGCATTTGGAGGCCTAGGATTCCCCCCGGCAAGCCCCAGCCCTTTCTGTGACTTCTCCAGGCCCTCGCACTATTTGACCCTCGTGGGCCCTCTGGGGCTTTCTTGGAAACGTTTGGGAGCTTGGGAATTCTTGGGTGGGGTGCAGTGGAGCCGTTTGGGGGGCTCTCGGAGCCTCTGGGGGGGGTTTCTTGGGGCCCTCTTGAGGCAACTCTCGGCCTCTTGGGGGTTCTCTTGGGCCCCCGTGGGCAGGCTATGCTTAACCAAGAAGTGCGCACCCCCACAAGTCATCAAAAGCTTATGCAATTCTTAGCGTTTGGGGCTGATGCTGGCGGTCCAGGGGGTCCTCTTCAGGCCCTCGTGTGGCCTCTGCAGAGGCCTCCCATATGCGGTCGGAGTACATGGGGTCGGAGGACCGCGCCGCATCGTCGATGCATCACCGATGCATCGGCGAGCATCAGCGATGCAACGGCGACGTCGGCGATACATTGGCGACGGCGGCGTACAGAAAGTCGGGCTCCACATCGCGCCGCGTGATGCGGCGCGATCCTCCGACATGATCTACTCGCACCACCTCTGGGAGGCTTAGAGAAATTCTTTACGTGTTTGGCTGGTTCTGGCGGTCTAGGGGGTCCTCGGACCCTCTTGTGACCTCCGGGGTCCGTCTTGGAGACACATCCGCTACTGCGTTTGCAGCGGTTAGTGCGCGTCGGGCCTTGGTGATCTTCGTTGTCTCCGCGGCGTGCGAAACAGTACTTAGACCTCCCCCCTGGCGCATCGAGCCCTACGCGCGCTTACTTTTGAGACCAAGTCCCTGCAGACCACGATTCCCAAACGAGCTGACCCCATGTCATGCCCTCCTCTCCTCATCTCCTCCGCTCCTCCTCTCGTCCTCCCCTCCCTCCAGTCGCGAGATATACCCACACGATCGTGGGATAAACGTTAAGAAACAACTACTGGTAGGTCTTCGTCGGAAGGATCAAGGAAGATGAAGCCCCATTGTGACGCCGAAATGGGCCTCGGATGAAGCGGGCTTCAGCCGGATGGAACGGGATCACGCGGGACGAGGCCGGATTGAGCGGGATTGAGCAGCACTCCGGACTCTGGACCATGGCAAAATCAGAAGTTGACCTCCCAGGTCTTCGCATCCGAATCAATCGGGAGCGGCTAAGACGGGGGTGTCCGAGACGGGGGGGTGCAAATCATGACCGGCGGCACGTGCGCGGCCCAGCGGGGGGGCCAGGGACGTGATAAAATGAGGCGAGCCGCCATGCAATCTGAGGAAATATCATGGCCCCCGCCATGATATCCACCCCCCCGAGTCATCACCCCCCTCTTTTCCGCCCCCGAATCAATGCTTGAGTCGTGAAACGAACGCCTGCTTGCACCCGGTCACCCCCGGCCCCCCCGGGCGACTCCACGCCCCCCGCCGCCGGCGCCCGCCCGAGCGCGGCGGCGGGCTCGCGCGGCGACGCAGCTGGGTATATCGGTAGTGTTGGGTCGGGCGTCTCCCCCTGCAGGCGGACTTGTGGACGAACGTGGGGACGAACCAGAGCGTGCTGAACAAATGCTCGAACGAAAACTCCAAGGAAGAGTCCCAGACCATTTTTTGCTACTATTTGGGAAGGCTCCTCCTGTTGGGGGACGTGCCCGACTTCACACTAGGCCTGCTGCCGTCGCGGCTTTTTGCTGCGATGCGCGGTCTGGGCCAGCGAAGCTCGGCGCCTCGCGCCACAGGCTGGCGGGGGGCCCTGGGAGCTCGCGGCCCCTCCCCCTCCCCACGGGGTATCCACGATATGTTCCTTGAAGGGGGTGGTACGTGGCGCTGTTTATGGCTCGACCAATGGCGAAACTCATTGTTCACATGTGTTGGAGTGGCTGGCACAAGTCATGGCGCAAGCTGAATCGCCACTCGCAGCGCAAATCATCGTCGGGGGCATGTACCTCCTGCCCAGCGTCCACTCTTGCCAGGGAGCCTTCAAAGAACGCACGCTCCCAGCTATGTGCATGAGCACGGCCCCCTCGATCCGCGAGACCGGCCACGTGATAGGAACGTTCGCGCACGGCGTACTCTCGAAGCCAGCGTGGACTCGTGCACGCCTACGTCCTTTTGCTCGCTCCAGATATTGCTGGCCTCGAGGCCCGGAGACGGTCCCCCTGGACGCCGACGGAGAAGGAGCACGACAGGATTGAAGCAACCTTTTGCGTCGGCGGCTAGACAGAGTCAGCGCGCCGGCGAGGAGGCGGCACGGGGCTGCCGTTGCGCGAGCTGTGCCACCGTGCAAAGGGGGGAGGAGAAGACCACTGGCCGACGGCCGAAGAGGAGCAGGAAGCGGGCCGGGGCCGCTCGGGGGAACGGGTCGTTCCCAGGGGCGCGCGGCGCGGCCGTCACCGCCGCGGGGCCATCAGCAGCAGCGGGGCTGGGGGGCCGGCGGCGGCGGGGGCAGATGCTGACCAGGATTGGAAAAACACGGCCAAGCCACGAGAGAAGTCTGGAACCCTCGGGTCCGCTCCGCGCCAGTGACCCCAGGCAAGAGCGTGCCTTGGTGGCCGGCCTGCCGAGACGCTGCGCGCGACGCATGCGACCGCGGCGGCCTGCACGCTGGGGCTCTTGTGTCCCCCCGAAAGCAGCGCACTCAAGGGCCCCTCCTGGCGTGCAAGCGACCTAGAAACCAAAAACAGTATACTGCATACTGTTTTTTGCATACAGAAACTCGGAGTATGTGTATTACACCTACTCCGAGTTTCTGAATGCGCGCCGGGGGGGCGTCACCCCCGCCCGCCGACAGCCCCACATCGACCCCCGTCGCGGGTAGCCACCGCGTGCCGCAGGCGCTCCGACCCTCGTCGCGGCGCGACGACGAGGCGAGGTTGACCCCCGTCGGGGGGTACCCCCCACGCTTATTAAGAAGCCCAGAGTAGGAAATTTCCCGGGGGTTCGCGCGAAGTTCTTGCATCGGCGGAGGACCCCGCTCCCAGGCGCGCGGAACGCGCCAGGGGCAGCGCCTGAGGTGCGCCAGGGGGGCCCCGCGCCGGTCCAAGAACTCCGCGCGGACCTCCGAGAAACTAGCTATGTATATGCAAGTGCCTGCTCTTCGGCGATCGGAGTTGAGGATGGCCAAGGGGCCTGACCTGGATGGCCCTGGAGAGAATCAGTCAAGATCGTCTTCTGGGGGCTTCCACCCCAGATCAGTTCAATTTTGGACGGTCCTGGGAGCCGAAAACGGACCCTGGACGTCGAACATGTAGCAAAAACAAATACCAAAAAACAACAGTACCTCGAACCTCGCCCCGCCCCCCTCCCCCCACTTCCAGCTCGTGAGCGTTTCCTGATTCGGCGTTTCGACATTGGGCAGAGGGGGGTGGAGGGGGAGCAGTTCTGGCTCCGGGCCTCTGCTTGGTGCGACTGTCTGCAGCAGGGCGTCCATTGTGGGGGAGACCCCGCCTGCTCGAGACAGGCGCCAAAAACAGCAAAGGTCTACTCCACGGGGGAGGGGGGCGCGGGGGCACAATGAAGAAGAAAACGACGAGGGGGGGGGGAGAGGGTGACGCGAGGGCCCGCGCCGATCGGCAACACAATGAATAAGAAAACGACGACCTCGCCGACGACGGTCCTAGTGCCGAAAAGAGACTCTGGGGGCGTCGAAGATACAAAATGAGAACAACAACAACAAAAATAAAACCTCGAACCTCGCCACCCCCCTCCGCTGACTCCCTTCGGGGAGGCGTAAGACTCGGGTACGGGGGACTCGAATTGGCCTGACGGGGCCACCATGAAAATGTCGAGACCCAATCTGAAATTTGGCGCGAGCTCCCGCTGCAAACGTCCCACGAAAACTGGACCGCCAAATTCCAGGACGCGCTCGTCAAAAACGTCGGCAAACGTCGGCAAACCCGAGGAGGAAGAGGAGAAATAGACCGACGAGGACGAGGAGGAAGGAGAAGGAGGAAGAAGGCGAGGAGGAGGAGGAAGAGGAGGAAGAGGAGGAAGAGGAGGAAGAGGAGGAGGAAGAGGAGGAGGACGAGGCGGAGGAAGAACAGAAGCAGGAGGAAGAGGAAGAGGAGGAGGACGAGGAGGAGGAAGAGGACGCGGAGGAGGAGAAGAAGGAAGAAGAACAGAAGGAGGAGGAGGAGGAGGAGGAGGAGGAGGAGCAGGAGGAGGAGGAGGAGGAAGAGGACGAGGAAGTGGAAACCAAATGGCTTCGAGGGCCTGCTCGCCGAGCCGGTGCTGGGCCGCCTCCGAGCCCCCAGGCGGCCCCCCCCGAGATGCTGCGACGCACTGCTGGCGGAGGCCGCGCGCTGCTCGCGCCGGCCGGCTCGCTCTCGGCGGCGGGGCCGCGGCGCCTGTTTGAAAGGGCCCTGGGACACACAAATAAATACACACAAATAAAAATATTCCACAAATTTCTCCATATTTTTGGGTTTTCGTCATCCCCACCACTTCCCATATTTTCCCATATTTTCTTGGGGATCGACGATTCATTGTGTCTGTGTGCTTTTTCCCCTCCTGACTGTTGGAGGCCTGGAAGTCGGCACCAACACCGACAAGAGGGGTTGCCTCCACAGGTTAGGAGGCAGCTACTGGGAGGTTTCCGTCGGAAAGGTCAAGGAAGATGAAGCCCTATGTGGGAGCTGTTAGGCCGGAGTGGGCCTCGGACTAAGCAAGATTAAGTCGGATTAAACGGGATTTTAGCGAAATCAAGCCGGATTTAGCAGGATTGAGCCGGATTTCGGACCAGCGCGAAAACAAAATTGGACCTCCCAGGAATTGCCTCCGAGCACAGGGGGAAAACGATCCCAGATTCCGGTGTTGGTGGTCGTGTTGCGGTCGCCTTGGAAGCCAGAGTACAGTCGGAGCGTTGACCCAAGGAACCCTGAATAAGGAACGAGGCCCCTCAGATCCACAAGTTGGACTTCGATTTCCCATCGAAAACCAAAGCAGAACCCAAGGCAAACTGTGAAGCAATCAGGGAACACGGAGCCCCTCCCCAACGAAAAGGGTTCCTTCTTCAGGGCCTCGACTGTAATGCCACCACTCATCGGGATCGGGTTTTTTTCTTTCCTCGGTGGAGGCGCGCCGCCGCTGCTGGTGTTGCCGTTAGACTCGAGGCCTGCGAGCCTGGGCCCTCCCCGCGGCCGCCCTCGTCGCTTCCGCCTGCTCTCCTCGGGAGGCATGACCAAAAAGAGTCAAAACATATCATGGGGACGACTGTTCGGCTATTTTTGTTGCTTTTTTTTGAATTTGTCTGTGTTTCAATTTCCTTCCAGAATCCAGTTGCAGGAGGACGTGCCCGACCTAAGCCTGCTCCAGCGCCCGTCCCCGGCACGCCCTGCCGTAAGCGGCTCCCGCGCCCGCGCCCGCTGGCGCCGCCGATGAACGAAATTCTTCGGCGATCGTGGAGAAACCGAAGGGGACCGATACCGCTCCTCCTCCTCCTCCTTCTCCACGCAGAGCGCGGGCAAATGGCAATCGCGTGCGGCGCTGGCCCTTCTGTGAGCAGGAAGCCCCCCCCCCACCCCTGCTTGCTGAAGGTTCCGATGCCGCTGCTTCCCAGACCTATCCCTGGGTGCGTTCTGACCAGAACATCGAGGCGCATCCAGTGGCGGCAGCGAGGGCATCCCAGGAGGCCGACAGAGGCGAAAAAACGAAGCAGGGGCAGCGGCATGGGTGCCTTCGTCCTCCTCCGACTTCGACGACCGGAGCACCCCGCCCCGCTGGCGGGGGCCTTCTCGAAGCTCAGCTGCAGCCGCACCACCTGCCGCTTGCCATCGCTCGGACGTCCATTCCCTGTGCATTCTTCGGTTTCGTGCGTGTGCGAATGCGTGTGTGTGTGTGTGTGTGTGTGTGTGTGTGTGTGTGTGCGTGTGTGTGTGTGTACTTGCACGTATACGTGTACGTGTACGTGTATACGTGTACGTGTACGTTTACGCGTACGCGTACGTGTACGTGTACGTGTACGTGTACGTGTACGTGTACGTGTACGTGTACGTGTACGTGCACGTGTACGTGTACGTGTACGTGTATGTGTATGTGTATGTGTATTTGTAGTGTATGTGTATGTGTAGGTATGTGTATGTGTATGTGTATGTGTGTGCGTGTGCGTGTGCGTGTGCGTGTGCGTGTGCGTGTGCGTGTGTGTGTGTGCATGTGTGTGTGTCTCTCTTCGCGGCCTCCGGCCTGCGACTCGCGAGCGTTTTCTTATTCTAGGGGGCAAACAAACCTACCTCGCTTTTGACCTCCCTCGCTTCCAAGAGATACCAAGCGATACCAAACTACGGCCTGTACTGGTCAGGCCGCTTGACGAGGAGGCGCGTGGTATGATTTGGTTTTGCCTGGAAGCGAAAGCGGGGTAGGCAATTCACGCTCTGATATTCGGCGTGTCGACATTGGGCGGAACGGGGGGGAGGGGGAGGGCCTGGCTCCGGACCTCTGCTCCATGCGACAGTTTGCAACAGTGCGTCCTATGGGGGAGACTGCACCTGCTTAAAACAGGTGCCAAAAACAGCTAAGATCTACTCCATGGGGGGGCGCGGGGGCCCGCGCCGATCGGCAAAACACGGAATAACAAATCAATAACCTTCTTGCGGCGTGTCGTGGCACCTGCTTCTGGGTCGCTCCTTGGCCTCCTTGTCGTCCACCCTGTTTCCTGGCTTTCCTGCCTTCAGTCCCGGTAGGCTATTGTCAGTCTCCACTCACCGTAGCTCGTCTTCCCACCGTCCCCCCTGTCCATGCCCGGACGGTTATGGCGGCCAGCTGTTGCGCGACCCAAAGCGGTCACTCGGGCCTCGGGCGGTTAGACGCGCGCGCACTTCCTTCGCTGCTTCCGACCTTCTCAACCTCGTCGCCGCGCGCGATGCCGCGACGCGCCCAACAAGTCTGTGAACGTCTCGCTCCTCCACCCCATCGGCGTGCCTTTGCACTTCCGCGCTGCGCCCTTCAGGCCGCGCGCGCTGCACTTCACCTGTGCTTGCCGCCACTCACTCCATCTCCCCCCTCGCTCCCCCCTCCCCCTGCGCGAGCGGCCCGGTTGATCCCCGACGGGCGGATCCCTGGTCCCCTCGCCCGAGTGAGCTGGCCTGGTCGCGCGCTGTGTCCCGCTCGACTGCCTACGCCGCGCCACCGCGCACGTGGCCGCAACGCCGAATTTGTGCGTGCGCGCGCTCCTGCTGTTGCATTGCTGCACAGGTTGTGCTCCGCGTGCCCTTGCATAGCGTCGTCGGCTCCTTTCATCTCGCGATTTCTGCGCGCGTTTGCCCGCATCCAAGCCCCCCATCTACAGCGCCAGGTGGTGATTGAAGCAAGCGTGCCCTGCCTCAGCACTCGAGACGCCACCTCACCGCTGGAGGGGAAAGTGCGCGCGGGCTCGCGGGCGCGTGCGTCCTCGCACCGTCGAGCGCGGGGTAATTACACTTTGGTCCGCGCGTCTCTTCGAACGCGGCCCTCTGGGCTAGCTTGCAGCTGGTGCGCTCGCTGCCCGTGCGCTCACTGATCGCCACTGCGGTGCCGCCTCGCCGGCGGAGAACAACATGCGCGCGCGGGCTTGCGCGCGCGCGTCCAGCGCATCCCTCGCCCTCGTCCCGCACCTCGCGGCAGTTTGATGCTGAGAAGCGCTCTCGGGTGGGGGGAGGCGCGGAGGAGAAGGAGGAGGAGGAGGAGCCAGGAGGAAGACGAGGAGGAGGAGGTGGCTTGCCCTCACCCGCCTTCCCCGCGCTCGGCCGCAAGCCCGGGCGCCGCGCAGGGCGGCGCGGCTCGCAGCCCACCAGGCGGTTGCGAGCTCTCTGGGCCGCGGCAGCGCCGCCCCGCCCCTGCGAGATCGGCGGCGGGCCCTAGCCATTCCGAGCGCGGCGGCCTCCGTCCCAGGCGAGACGATTTGGACCGCCGCGGGCCCTCCGCGGCGCCCCGGGGAGGCGCGGCGCGGGCCGCCGCCGCCGCCCGACCGTTTATGAAGGGGCCCCAGGACACAGAAATGAATACACACAAATAAAAAGATTCCCCATATTTTCCAATATTTTCTGGGTTTCTGTCTTCCCCCCCCACCTCCCATATCTTCCCATATTTTCTGGGAATCGCCGATTAATTGTGTCTGCGTGTTTCTTTCCCTCCTGAGTTTAGGCGGCAGCTCTTTCTCTGATGTTTTGGGGTCCCCCGCCGGCGGCTGGCCGCGAGCGGCTTGGCGGCGCGTCGCCGCGCGCGCGCACGACGTCGGGGGAGCTAGCGTGTCCCCCCCCCCCCCCATAGTTTGAAGTCGGGCCTGTCCTCCTACAGGAGGATTTGGGACGAGAGAGAAAAAGATAGTCAAGCAATGCACCAGCATGGTCAAGAAGATGTAGTAATAAAATCGTCCCCTGACGATGTGTTGACTATGTTTGAACATTCCTCCGGTACTAACCATAGTTGCCACCCACTTCTAGGCCGCCAGCGAGAGAAGCGCGAGGCCCGCGCCCGCGCCAACCCCGGCCACCAGCAAGGGGGGGGGGGGCAGCGCGCACGACGCCCGAGCGGCGGCGCCAGCGACGCCCACGGCGCCGACTCCGCCGCCGCCGCCGACGGCCGGCGAGGGCAGCGGACGGCGACGACGCCGACGACCACGTCGACGCCGGCGCCGCCGGCGAGCACGAGGACGGCGCCGCCGCCGCCGCCGAGCACCAGGGACGATGCCGACGGAGCCGACGACCCCGACGCCGGCGACGAGCACGAGGACAACGACACCGACTGCGAGAACGACCGCGCCGACGGCGATCCCGACGGCGGCGGCCGCGGCGGGCGGCGCCGCCGCGACGACGCCGCGGCGCCTTGAAATGCTCGCGCAGGAAGCCGTCGAAGTCGTGTTCGGGCACCACCCGCAGGACCCCCTGCCTGCGGGCCGGGACATCGGACTCGTCCGCCCCCAGATCTTTCAGCATCGTGTCAAGATGGTCATGGATTCAGTTTCTGGCAAGAGTGTTGCGTACACGGTTTAGCGCAGGCGGGATGGGCGGGATCGCAGCAATGCTTGTCTCTACCTGTGCAGCCATCTGCCCCAGAGGCCCCCCAAAGGGCCGTGCTAGCAGCACACCGCGAAACGTACACCAGCAATGCGACGAGGAAACAAGCCATCGGGTGGGCAAGGACGATGAAGACGGCGAGGAGGATGAAGAGGGGGATACGGGCGAGGATTGGGAAGAGGAGAGGGGCGGATGAGGAGGACAAGACCGATAACGAGAAGGAGGAGCAGGGGCGGGGGGAGGGGAAGGGCTGGAGACCGTACTCCCCGACGGCAGGGCCGATGGGGGTCCAAGAGTTTTAGCGGCCTGAAGATCTGACAAACGCCTCCCGCGTGCGGCAAGTCTCCGCCTCGAAAGCGTCGGCTCTGGCTTCGGACACCGTGTGGGCCGATCGCTCTTGCACGACCTCGGATGCTCTCAGAGGTCCGCGTGGGCCGTCGACCCCACCCCTGAGGACAGCACAACCGAACCCCTGCCCCAGCCAGGACCCCCACTCCCGACCTGGTGATCCGGGGGGTCTTGGCCGGGAGTTGGAGGGTGGGGGCTGCTGTCTGGGGCTCTGGGGGCAAAACGCCAAGCTCACCCCCTGCGCCAAGACCTCCTGGACCACCTCAGGTTGGGGATGGGGGTCCTGGCAGGGGGTGGGGGCTGTGCTTGGGAAAACAAAAAGGTACCGATGCCGCTGCTCCCCGGACCTCTCCCTGGGTGCGTTCTGACCAGAATTTCGGGGCGAATCCAGCGGTGGCGACGAGGGCCTCCCAGGGGGCCCAAGGAGGGGAAAACGGGCGAAGGGTGGCGGTATGGGTGCCTTTTCCTCCTCTGACGTGCTGCCCTCATTTGACCATCGCGCGAACGGACCTCGCACCACGGCGCTCGTTCCCTGCGGGCCCTGCAGGCGCATGAGGCTCGCTCAGTCCTCGAACGCCCACGCCCGCGTCGCCGCCGCATCGGGGCGGCGCGGAAGCTGGCGAGGGCAGCTGCAGCTCAGCATCGATCCCCGGACCCCTCTTCTCTGGGACGCACAACAACGTACTGGTACGGTGTGTTCTCCTTGGAGGCGTGCGTCCGACCCGAACATGCAGTACAAGCATCGTGCAAGATCCTAGTATATCGTTCCTTTGGCGGTAAGGCCAGAGAGCGCCCGCCACGAAGCATGTACTATGAGACGTCTCGGAGCGTGCGTCGCTCATGTGGGGGCAACGCACAAATAGCATTAATCAGAGTGATATGTTAGGGAGACGCCGATTCTTCTACACATGTGCAACGCGGTACGCGCTGGCGCTTGCTTCTTTGCTCTGTATCTTCTCATCGCCCCCTCACTCGGCAATCAGACGCGCGAATGCTCGGAGACCCCATTCGAGAGCGAGTGCTTCTACGCAGACGACAGAATTTCTAGCAGCTCTCATGCTCGATGAACCACTAAGTGTGTTTGTGTAAGTGAGTGTGTGTGTGTGCGTGCGTGCGTGCGTGCGTGCGTGTGTGTGTGTGTGTGTGTGTGCGTGTGTGCGCGTGTGTGTGTGCGGGTGTGTGTGTGTTGTGTGTTGTGTGGTGTGTGTTGTGTGTTGTGTGGTGTGTGTTGTGTGCTGTGTGTGTTGTGTTGTGTGTGTGTTGTGTTGTGTGTTGTGAGGTGTGTGTTGTGTGTTGTGTGGTGTGTGTTGTGTGTTGTGTGTTGTGTTGTGTGTGTTGTGTGTGTTGTGTTGTGTGCTGTGTGTTGTGTGTTGTGTGTTGTGTGTTGTGTGTTGTGTGCTGTGTGTTGTGTGTTGTGTGTTGTGTGCTGTGTGTTGTGTGTTGTGTGTTGTGTGTGTGTGCCGTCGGAATCGTAAGTAAATTGCCACCTGGCCAGTGCTTGCAGCTGCGTCCAGCCGTGGTCACGAGGACCCCCCCATTCCAAGCTCAATAGAGGGGGGGGCGGGGAAACTCACCTTGAGTCTGCCCTGCTGTCGGCAACAAGCGTGGATGGGTCCCCCCCCCCGCCCCGCGACAGGCGCCACAGGCGCGAGGTCTTTGTCCTCGACCAGAGCCGATTTGGGGCTGCCGGCGGGAGCGCCGCACCCCGGCGATCGTCTCTGAAAACTCGGAGCGCGGTGGGCTCACGGGAGCGAGCTTCTAACACCACGTGGATCGTTCAGCCGTGGGCGATCACAGCATCGCGAGGAGGAGGAGGAGGAGGAGGAGGAGGAGGAGGAGGAGGAGGGAGGAGGAGGAGGAGGAGGAGGAGGAGGAGGAGGAGGAGGAGTCGAGGTCGGCCGATCCCTGGCCACCGCGGGGGGGGGCCGTCGCCGCGCCAGGCGCGGCGCGACCCTGCCGTGCCGCGGGGAGCCGAGGACCTCCGGGCGCTGCGCTGTCGGTGCGAGGCGCGGGGGGCCCTGGGCCTCGCGGGCCGGGGGCCTGCGCGCCTACCTCGGGGATGGACAGACCCCCCTTTAGTAAAACGTGGTTTAGTGAAAACGACCTGAGGCCCAAACCTGGCGGGCGCAAGCCTGGAAAATAACGGCCACGGCGCCCTCTCGAGAACCGAAAACGGATAATTCACTAATCGACGTGTCACTGTTGGGGGCTCTGTCCACCCCCGACTACCCGCGAACTTTCTGTCTTTCCGACGGTGGTTTGCCGCCTGTACCCTGTCTCCTCCATCAGAGCTTTGCGTAGCCCGCCCAGCTTTTGACCGGAGGAGGCTCGCTCTCGACCCGCAGACCAAAAACAAATGTCTGTTCGGACGGCCTCGAAGTCCGAGACTCGGCGGCGAGCGGGGGGCGGGGGAAGCGAGAGGGGGAAGGCCTTCCCAGAAGGCGGCGGGGCGTCTCGGAAGCCCTCGCGCCGCCGGAGAAGCTGGTGTTCTGTCTTCGGGGAAGGCTTTTAGGCAACTTCTCAGGGGCCGGGGGGACTTCCGCACCTCCCGAGAAGGCCTTCGCCTTCTCACTTCCCCCCCTCGCTCGCCGCCGAGAAACCGCCGCCCAGAGGCCGAAGGACAATTGCCACAAACCCGCTGCCTCGATTTCTCGAGACGCCAGACGTCTGGGACCCCAGTCGGCCCGTATCAGAAGGCCGCGCGGTATCAAGGATGCAGGGGCCCCGGGAGGCCATCTCGAAGCTGCTCCAGCGGGGCGCGGCCAGCGAGAGTGGCCACGGATGTGCCGTGGGGGCCAGGATGCCAGGGTACCCTTGGGAAGGTTGCCTACTCCAGATTTCGTAATAAAAGGGACGGGGTCTGGACCCTCCAATCGAACACATCAAAAACTACACTTAGAAAAACTCCACCCAGTTGCGGGGACCAGGGGGGGCAATCAAAATTCGGTTAGGCGCGCTGGTCGGTCTGGGTGGACGGGCACCGCCTCGCGACCTACGACGGGGAGCGCTGGTCATGCGAAACACGTGGGGCGCCAAGCGCTGCAACTATCAGCATGTTTCACTGCGGGGCTAAGCGGCTGCTGCAACAGGAAATGATAACGCGAACTGCCGCTTCATCCGTGGAGGGGGGATCCAGCACGGAAACGAATTCGAAGGCGTGGGGCGTCTGGCCAGGCATTTACTTACGGCACGCATAGAACCGATCGCGGCTACAAAACTTGGCGAGACACGGGGATGAGGTGGAAGTGGAAGGACATAATGAAAGAGGCTGCTAAGGCACGGAGACACGAGACGAGGGAGGAGATCACGTCTGAGGCAAAACGGCGCCCCAAAGCACAGAAAACACTGGGGTCATCATACTGGGGCAGAGGCGGGGAAGGGCAGCGGGCAGTGCGAGGCGGAAAAGGACAGCGGCCATGCAGGTGGTTTCGCTGAGCCTGAGGAAGTGGGAAGTCGGCGGGGAGCGGCCCTGGGGACGGGGCCTCGGAGATGGGCAGCACGGGCAGCCGATGCTTCGCCAAAAGGGGACACGTACAAAACTACACTTAGCGGCCGGGGCACGGTACACGTCGGGAGCGCGAGTCGCGCCCCCGACATGTACCCCGCCCCGCTGGCTAGGTGTAGTTATATGAGTGCTCTGTTTTGTGAGGATGTCCCTGGCGAAACCAGCACGTACAAAACTACACCTAGCGCCTGGCTAAGTGTAGTTCTGAACGTGCTGGATGTCTCGAGCGGGGCGAGCACGTATAGACCGGCACCTAGCGAAAGTGGCAGGGTACAGGTCGGGGGCGTCGCCGCGCCTCCCCGCAGAGTCAGGAGGGCAGGGGCCACTGAAATCCCAGCCGCCCTCAGGGCGGCGGAGGCTGGACGTCCCAGGGACGCCCGAAAGGGACCCAACTGCGGCCAAGGGCACGCAACAAGGTCCCTGGGGGCCCCAAGAGCGCTCCACGACCTCCAGCCGCAATCTGAGGTCGTGGCGTCTTGGGGGTCTCCTGGAGCGCTTGGCGGGGTCTTGGATTCTTCCTGGGGCGCTCGGGAGGTCCCAGGAGCGCACCTGCTCGCCACGACATCTGGTCTCGATCTGGAGGTCGTGGCGTCTGGGGCCCCCGTGGGGCGTTTTGGGGGCACTGGGGGTTCCTCCTGTAGCCCATCATGGGTCCCACGAGCGCTGGTGGTCGCTACGACCTCTGACCTTGTTCTGGATCCCTCCATTCTCTTTGCCCCCCCCCCCGTGATCAGGGCAACTCGCCTGGTGACGATGTTTCGAGGATTTTAAAAGATATGCGCGCTCCGCCTCCGCCTCCTAATCGCGAGTTGTTATTTCTGATTCCACGCCGACTCTGGCTAGCGACGTCGAGGCCCTCGCAAATCCGACAAACGCGATGACCCCCCTCGAATGGCGGGCAAAACAAACTTTGGAACGATAGCCAAAAATTAATATTGAAATTTCGGGATCCGCGAGAGAAACTAATCCACTCGCCCAAAGTGTAGCTCTTTATCTGTCCGATCCAAGAAAAGCCATTTCAGACCTCCCCCGTGGGAAAACCCTCCAAAACATCGTCCCCAGACCCCCCAGGCCCTCCAAGATAGCCTGGAAGAGACCCCCCCCGAAATGAGGCCCCCCTCCCTTTATTACGAAATCTGGAGTGCCCTTGAGAAGGTTTGCCTATCCTTCCTGTGCGGGTGGACTGCGTTCCGTCTCCGCCCCGCGCCGCTCTTCCTCTGCAGGCGCCTGGCGTTCACGAGGCTGAACCTGGCGCACAGCCTGCCGCTCGAGGGCACCTGCGGGCACCGATACGGGGGGCGGCGGGGGGCGGCCCACCGAGGCACACCACGCAGTCCAGCGTCCAGCAGGGAGACCGAGGGAATGCTCTACTGGAGCGCGCGCGTCTTCGAAGTTCGTTTCATCATCGTTGCCGCCCCACTCCATGGTTACGTAACGTTCGGCGACGGCGGGGTCTGGGAATCCTGGCAGTCTCCGATGCTCTGGGCCACTCCGGGTAATGGTATCCACCCATGCCTTCATGTCAGTGCGAGCTCAGATCTGGGAGACTAAGACTCGGGTACGGGGCACTCGGGTTGGCCTGACGGGGCCATCATCAAAATGACGAGACCCTATCTGAAATTTGACGCGAGCTCCTGCTGAAAATATACTACGAAAACTGGACCGTCAAAATACAAGACGCGCTCGTCAAACAAACCTCGGCAAACCTGAGTTCCGGTAGTCTTACGTTTCCCCGATCAGAAGCTGAAGCAGAGGGTTCAACGATGGCAACAATGAGATGAGAGGCTGGCTCGGGAAGGGTAAAGTGAACCCACGCCCGGGACCGATCCACGCCAAACGATTCGCAAATGTTCCCCCCTCCAATGATGTGGGGCAGCGGGGACACGATCAACAACGTCCGCCAAGCGCCTCCCACCTGGGGAGAGTTCCGCGAAAATCCGGTACGTGTGCGACAATTCGTCCTCGCCTCTTCGTCCTCCTCTTCTTTCCCCTCCTCCTCTTCCTCCTCCTTCTCCCCCCTCGTCCTCGTCTTCCACCTCCTCCTCCTCCTCCTCCTCCTCCTCCTCTTCCTCCTCCTCATCCTCCTCGCCATCGCCCTTGCCCTCCTCCTCCTCATCCTCCTCTTCCTCCTCATTCTCCCTGCCCCTCTTCCAGTCCTTCTCATCACCGCCCTGGTCCTCACTCTCCTCTCATCTTCCTGCTCCTGCTTCTGCTCCTGCTCCACACACTCTTTTCACTTGCTCCACCTGCAACGCCTTCAATGCCTCCTTCCCCTCCGACCCATTCTAGCCTCTAGAATATCCTCCTTCATCCTTCCTCCTCTTCCTCCTACTCCTCCTCCACCTCCTCCTCCTCCTCCCCTCCAGCCGCTCGCTCTTCCCGCGAGCCCTCTTTCCCCTCTCCCATCCGCCATCGAAGTCCCTGAAAGTCCCGCGGAGATCGGTGACAGCGAAACAGTGCCCAAACCGCTAGAGCTCATGGATCTTGTTTCTACTCCGCCATCTGTATTCCAGATTAGCCACATACTCACATTCTGGCACCTAGCCGGCTGATACGGGGCGGATCCCCGTGGTTGGTTCCATCCAGCCCGTCAACAAAGGACAAGACGAGGTTGCCGGGCTCCCTCTCGACATGAACGTGTTGTCGCCGACGTTGCAGGATGTGGCACGAACGGGACACGGTGCACATTGCGCGCAAGAGTGCGAGATGTCGCTCGCCGCGGCGCCTCGGAATTGAGCTCCCGCTTGGGCGGGGCGCACGGCTCTTGCTCGCCAACTCGTCTACTACAGTCAACCCGTATAGTACGGATGCGCGAGAAGAGTGCAGGGGCCCTGGACGCCCATGCCGAGACTTCTGAACGGGATACGGCCAGCGAAAGTGGCGAAGGAGGGGCCGAGGAGGCTGGGATGCAGGGGTACGCGTGGGAAGGGTGCCCATCCTTCCTGTGCGGGTTGACTGTGCTCCCGCCCCTCTGCGACGTCGGCCTGCGCGGCCGAAGGGGGGCGGACCTGGCCCCTGTGCTCGGGAGGGGGTCCTGTGGGCGCGCGACACGCCCGCACTGGTGCCCGAGGGCCCCTGTCTGAGGGGGGAGGAGGAGGAGAAGAAGGACGAGGAGGAGGAGGAGGAGGAGGAGGAGGAGGAGGAGGAGGAGGGGGGTGGAAAAAAGAGAGGAGGAGGAGGAGGAGGAGGAGGAGGAGGAGGAGGGTGAGGAGGGGGGTGGAAAAGGAGGAGGCGCCGCGCAAATGTCACATGAAAGCGGTGCTCCCGCTTTGACGCAGCGCATCTGCTCGCTCGCCTTGCTGGCGGGGGCCTGTGCCTCGCGCAGGCGGGCGATGTCTGCCGCTCGCCCAACCGCGCCTCGTGCAGCCTTCGCGCGGCAGGGCCGCTCCCGGTTCGGCGCGGTGCATGTTGTGGTGTTCGTTCGCCGAGGTGCTGGACTAGAGGCCTCTTAGATGGGGTCCGAGTAGATGGGATCGGAGGATCGTGCCGCATCGCCAGTGCACCAGCGATGCATCGGCGATGCATCGGCGATGCATCGCCGACGTCGGCGACGCATCGGCGACGTCGGCGTCGAGAACATCGGCTCCGCATCGAACCGCATCGCCGACGCATCGGCGATGCGGCGCGATCCTTCGACCCCATTTACTCCGACCCCACGTAGGAGGCCATCGAAATACCCGCGCGCAACCGCGCGCGGGCCTTTCGCCACCTGGCTCGCTCGAGCCAAAGAGGCCACGGGGGAGGAGGGAGGAGGAGGAGGAGAAGGAGGAGGAGGAGGAGGAGGAACAAGAGGACGAGGGCGAAGGGGAGGGGGAGAAAGAGGGGTACGGAGTCGGGGCCACGCGCGAGCGTGCGACGTATGGCTCGCGCGAGAGCGAGAGCGTTGTGCAGAGGTTGCATGCAGCTCGCAGTGCTGCTTCGGCGCGGCTCATGCCTCGTCTTCGTCGGGCCGCGCGCGGCAGGGCGCGCGCGGCAGGGCTCTGGGACCTACGGGGAGGAGGAAGAGGGAGGGAGGAGGAGGAGGAGGAGGAGGAGGAGGAGGAGGAGGAGGAGGAGGAGGAGGGGGAGGGGGAGGAGGAGGAGTGGCCCTTCGAAGGTTTGGCCGCGCGAGGCAGGGCTCTCGCCGCAGCGCAGCGCGGGGAGCTCCTGACAGCTCCGCTCTCCCGCCCGTGCGCGGCCCCTTCGCCAAGAGGGCGGATGCGGGACCGCGTGCGAGCAACCGGCTCTCGCTGGGTGGGGACGCGCGCCCGCCCGAGCATCGGGCTGCGCAGTGGCTCGTCCGCCTGTGGGTTGGAGGGAGGGGGGACAGGGCCTGCTGACTCGCTCGACCTGGCTGAGTGGATCAACAACGACGACGAGATCGATATATACATATATAGATATACACATACCTATATATATACATATATATATTATCTATATATATATATATATACACGTATCAATCTATCTTTATATATATACTATGTATACAGGTATATTGATACGTATCTATACATCGATCTATCTATATATACACACATATATATATATATATGTGTAAATCCACTGCCCGAGGCCAGGCTCAGCCTGTGCCCAGGGCGGGCATGGCCAGTGGCAGCGGATGTGTATAGTTCTCGCCGCCCGATTGCTTGTACTTTTCTGCTCCTCCTCCTCCTCCTCCTCCTCCTCCTCCTCCTCGGCGTCGCCGAACCAGCTCGTCCCACCAATACTGCACGCTCTCCTCCCGACACCGGCGGCGCCTCCCACGCCCCGTTGACAGACGAGGCCGGGTGGTGGTACGGCGGCGTTGCGGAGATGTTGGTGAAGGCCGCCTGGCAACGACCAGGTCTGGCAAGATGAGGAGGAAGATGAATTCACATGAAAGAAGCGGGTCCTGAAAGAAGCGGGTCCTGAGGTGTTTCGCCGTTTTCGGGCAACTGGTCCTGAGGAACGCCCCTGGGGTCCAGGACACGACTCCCTCCTGACCTACTTCCTACATGCCAGAAGAACGACGGAGGAGGGCGAAGGATTGGGGAGGAGGGCGAGAGAGTACGAGGGGCAGAAGCGGCAAATGGCCGTTCCTCGACTGGTCCGCTCTGACTGTTCTATGCGCGGCTGCCAGCGCATGACACTGCGAAGCTGGCAGCATGTTCTTCACCATCGCTGTGCGATGACTAATTCTGCATGTGTAGAGTAACTCTTCCTGTATGTATGCATGTATGCATGTATGCATGCATGTATGTATGACTGGCTGTCTGTCTGTATTTGTGTATGTATGTATGTATGTATGTACGTATGTACGTATGTATGTATGTATGCATGTAAATAGGTAGGTATGTGGACAGGTAGGTAAGTATGTGTGTAGCTATGCGCATGTGTATGCATGTATGTATGGATGGATGCACAGGCGTATGCATGTATGTACACGTATGTGTGTATGTATGTATGTATGTATGTATGTATGTGTGTGTGTGTGTGTGTTTGTGTGTTTGTTTGTTGGTTTGTATGTATATATGTATGTATGTGTGTATGTATGCATGTATGTATGTATGCATGCATGCATGCATGTATGTATGTATGTATGTGTATATGTGTGGTTGTATGTGTATATATATATGTGTGGATGCATGCATGTATGAATGTATGGGTGTACGTATGTATGTGTATGTATGTATGTGCATATATGTTAGCATGTGTGCATGCATGTATGTATGTATGTACGTACGTACGTAAATATGTATGTATGTATGCATGTATGCATGTATGTGTGTATGTCTGTATGTAAGTATGTGTGCATGTATGTATGTGTGTATGTATGTATGTATGTATGTATGTGTGTGTATGTATGTATGTATGTAGGTAGGTAGGTAGGTAGGTAGGTAGGTAGGTATGTGTGGATGCACGTATGTATGTATGTTTGCATGTGTGCATGTATGCAGGCACGCATGTATGCGTGCATGAGCGTATGGATGTATGTATGTATGCTTCTATGTATACATGTATGTATGTGTGTATGGATGGATGTATGCATGTCTGCACAGTATGGATGTATGTATGTATGCATGTACGTATGTGTGTGTATGTCTGTATGGGTGGTTGTGTATGTGTGTACGTGTGTATGTATGTATGTATGTATGTATGTATGTGTATGTGTATGTGTATGTATGTATGTATGTATGTAAGTATGTTGTATGTGTGTGTCTACATGCATACATCGATGCGTGTACGTACGTATGTACGTACGTACGTACGTATGTACGTACGTATGTACGTACGTATGTGTGGATGATGATATACATGTTTGTATACATTGTATATACATGTATACATGTTTGGATGTATGTATATATATATATATATGTACATATGTATGCACACCTATCAACCTGTACCAGCAACCTCTTGAAAGTCAGCGTTCGCCTCCTTGTCCTGCTCCTGTTCCTCATCCTGCTGGTGGTACTGGTGCTGATGGCATGTCTCGCGTTGCTACTATTGTTTCTCCTGCTGTTCCTCCTCTTCCTCATCCTCCTCCTCCTTCCGATCCTCTCAATCTGCCCGTTCTGGCGCCACTCTCTGCACGAAATCACGGCCCAACGCATCAACGAGGCACGTATTCCCAATAGCGTGACGTGCACACATGCTGCCAACAAGTAAGGACTGCCGCGCTCCGCCTGCTGTGGGACGGCCGCGGAGGGATCGAGAGATGATCGGTAGCAGCCAGACCGATGCAGACAGACAGACAGACAGGCAGGCAGGCAGACAGACAGACAGGCAGGCATACAGACCAGACCAGACAGACAGACAGACAGGCAGACACACAGACAGACAGACGGACACCGCTGTCGCGCCAAAGCGCGTCCCTGGCTGGAAGGTTGCTTAGGACCTCGGCCCTCAGAGGGCCACGAACTCTTTCTCAGAGGATGTCAGTTGTCGACACTCGGGATGGGATGGTAAAAAGGTCAAGAGCTCGTCCTCTGCAGCAGCGCGAGTGATGTAAGGAGGCGGAACAAGAGGAGGAGGCATGTGAGGAAGCAGAGGGACGGGCAGCAGGGAAAAGCAGAGGCCGGGGGGAAGGGGGGGGGGGGGGGGGGACGGCTCGAGGAGCAACCAGAGGGGGGAGAGGCGGAGGAGGAGGGCCCGGGAGGAGCATGGACGAACCGGGCGGCCGAGGCGAGGAGAGGCACACCGCCGAGGCGGCGGAGGCGCACCCCGCGCACCGCCAGGCCAGGCCGCGCCCGACGCCGCGCCGCGGGAAATGCGCGGCTCTCCTCCCGCCCCCGCGCCGCACGCGCGACAGGGAGGAGTTGTTTACAAGGAGAAGCAGCGGAGGAGGAGGCAGCAGGAGGAGGAGGAGGCAGGAGGAGGAGGAGGCAGGAGGAGGAGGCAGGAGGAGGCAGGAGGAGGAGGAGGAGGAGGAGGAGGAGCAGCAGGAGGAGGAGGAGGAGGCAGGAGGAGGAGGAGGAGAGGGCCCGCTCTCGCGAAGTGCGGAGCGCGATCGCTTCCGCGCGCCCCTGCGTGCAGGCCCCGGAGGCGAGGGGGGAAACACGCTCCTCGGACTGCGGGCCACTCGCTCCAGCTGCGCGCAGGGACGTTCGACCAGACTCGAACTTCATGCCCATCCCCAAGATGGGCATGCCAAGCGAGAGGACGGTACCAAGGATGTCCTCTCAGAAGCGGAGGGGGTCCTCGAGATCGGCACCGAGGTAAGGTGGCGCCAGACACTGGGATGAATGAAACGGCGCTGCGGCAGAAGACCCGCTGTCGCGAACATGGTCTCGGGGACCAGAGCCCCCCCTCCGTCTCGGGCCCCGAGTTCCCAGCTGGGAGCCCCAGGGCACGAGGCGTGGACGAAGCACAGAAACTACCTGGAGGCTGGAGGCGCACGCGCCTGGACCCCCACGTGGGACCTGGCCATCGCTCGGACGTTCATTCCTTGTGTTTTCTTTTTTGTCTCGTGCGTGGAATTTTTGGCCGAATGATCAAGGATGCTCCTCGATGGTCCTCGCCGAAGGAAAAATGCACACGTCCGAGCGATGCCAAGGGGACACGCGGAGGCCCACCGAGGGGTACAGACGCCGAGGGCCAGCGCACGTGCCCGCCCACGCAGGACCTGCGCACTTTGCAGCGCACGTGCGCTGCAAAGACGTGCGGCTGCACGACTACCTACCAGACCACCCCAACCCAACCCGAAGACCCGAATTTCGGGTCACTGGAAATGGAGGTCAATTTGAGGCCTTCGGGTTGGGTTGGGGTGGTTTGGTGGGTGGTGGTACTACCCGGGTCTCGCCCAGGCCAGCCACGTCATGCCCGATCCGGCCCCCTGGCAGGGAGCAGCCTGCCCGCGCCGAAACCGCGGCGCCCCCCTCGATGCTCGATGCTCCAAGGATGGGGTCCCGAGGGATGGGGTCCTAAGGATGGACAGGGGGTCCAAGGGTGGAGCTGCGTTGTTTGAGGCACCTCGTCCTCAGGACCCCATCTCTTAGGACCCCATCTTGGAACCACCGATCCTCACTCCGACCACCCCGCTGCACGTCGACGTCGCCGCCCGAGCAGCCGCTCTCGCAAGAGCCCCCCGGGGGCCCAGGGAGACGGCGAGCCCCGGAGGGAAACCGATCCTGGACTCCCGGGGGGGGGCTCCTCCCCGAGGACCGGGGCACCTTCGTCCAGAGCGCTTCCGTTCGGCGGTGCCGGGGCCCGCGGAGGGCCCCGGGCGCCAAGGCATGGCGAAGCGAGCTCAGCAGGGAACCGCGCTCTATACACCGACGTTTCTGTGCGGCCCTGCACGGGCCGTTTGCGCAAGAAAGCGGAGCCTGGCGTATACGGGACCCGGGACGTATACGGGACATTTTCCCATGCTTCCTGGGAAAACGGGGGAGCAAGTCTGCACTACACCACCCCGACGTCGTCCCGGGCCCTCAAAAAGTCCTGGGATTGGAAGACGACCCGCCACTGGTAACGGGACCCGTCTCCCTCGGGAGCCGCTGGATTCCCAGTGGCAGCGGAAGGCGCGCCGATCCCCCGCGAGGCTGCGGAGCCGCAGCCCGGGGCAGCCGTGCGGTGCCTCGCCTGGTAGGCTGGCGCCAGCGCTCCAAGGAGTGCAGGGCAGTCTGTGGGGAAAAGACACACACTGTGGGAAAAAACACACACACACACACGTGGGAAAAAAACACACACACACACACAGTTCGTGGGAAAACACACAACAGTCGGTGGGAAACATCTGTGGGAAAAAACACTATGTGTTTTGACGCCCCCGCGCAGTCCGCCCAGATTGGGGCGGAGGATCGAACAGGATGGGCGATGCGTCGGCGACGCGTGGGCGACGGAGCGGCGGCGTCGGCAGAATGCAGGGGCGCCAGCGGTCGTGGAGAAAAAAGTGGGCTCCACAGGGAGCCGCGTCGCCGATCCGGCCGCGGTTGCGGCGCGGGACGGGGCACGATTGGGGGCACCGAGGCAACTCCTGGGAGGTCTTCGTCTGGCCATCGCTCGGACGTTCATTCCTTGTGTTTTCTTTTTTGTCTCGTGCGTGGAATTTTTGGCCGAATGATCAAGGATGCTCCTCCATGGTCCTCGCCGAAGGAAAAATGCACACGTCCGAGCGATGCCAAGTCGTGGGAACGACTACGGGCTGTGAGGCCCGACTTCAGAAACCGCTGGTCCAGAGCCAGACTAAGACCAGGATGATGACGGGTTAAGCGGGATTGGAATCGCGACAAGCTGGACCAAGCCAGATAAGAACGGTTTTCGCCCACCGATGTGCAAGAGCCGCTACTGAAGCCAATATTCCAGGAGCTGCAACCGAGGAGGAGGAGGAGGAGGAGGAGGAAGAATG